CCAAAGTTTGCGTACCGAATCTACTCGTATGAAAACATGTGAACAGGTAGATAACTCTCGAGGGGGAGCGACCTGTCGATGTTGTATTCGAGTTGACACCGGAGACAGCGTTCGCACAAATGCAGACAGTCGATGGACGTAGTCTGATTTACCGAAATTAGGTCTGCTCCGTGGTGTGAAGTATTCTCCGGGCAGACGCAATGTCGTGCCGTATACAAGTTCAACGGCGGAACATTGGATATTTGCCTTCAAGCTCGTTCGAATATCTAAGTGGACGAGCGGTAAGGTTTCGTACCAGTTGTCGTTTCCGTGTGCTCGAAGAGCAATTTTTGCATTGGCGCTGAAACCTTTCAACTAAACCATTAGAAGCTGGATGGTAGGCGGTAGTGCGTATGCGCTCCGTACCAAGCAGTCGAGTAAGTGAGGAGAATAATGAGGACTCAAATTGTTGTCCTCGGTCAGTCGTGACAGTCGAAGGACAACCATATAGAGCTATCCATAGTTCTACGAAGCGGTGAGCAACTGTCTCCGCCGTGATAGACGTGATGGGTATAGCTTCGGGCCATCTGGTGAAACGGTCGATGCACGTGAGTGTGTGATCATACCCATGCGATGGTGGCAGTGGTCCTACAATGTCCAAGTGAACGTGGTCGAAGCGAGCATCATGCGTAGCGAAAGTGCCAAGAAGGGCGGCTACATGCCTGTACACTTTTGATCGTTGACATTGTAAGCATTGCTTCGACCACATACGAACATCTTTATTCATGGACGGCCAGACGTATCGTGCAGCGATGAGACGCAATGTAGCTGCGATACCTGGATGAGATAATCCATGCAGGGCATCGAATACGAGACGGCTATAAGCGGATGGTACGATGGGTCGAGGAAGACCGGTAGAAGTATCACATAGGATGGTGCCAGAAGTCGTGGCTAGGGGTACTTCCTGATGCTGAAGGGACGTGGAGTGTAGTGCTTTTGTACAAATGGGATCGTTTGCTTAGGCGGCGGCCATAGCAGGAAAATCTAGCACCGGCAGAGTAACTGCATTCGTTTGGATTCGTCTTAGAGCAACACAGTTCGAATTGCCTTTGATGTGACGAAGTTCTGTCGTGAACTGAGAGATATAGTCCAAATGTCTGCACTCTCGTGGTGAGCAGCGGTCAGACTTGGTATGCAAAGCATACGTTGAGGGCTTATGGTCGGTGAATAAGATGAATCGACGTCCTTCTATGGCACGCTGGAAATGTTTGATGGCGCAGTAGGCTGCTAGCAGCTCGCGACCAAAAGCGCTATATCTCGTCTCCGTGGGAGTAAGGCATCGTGAGAAAAACTCGAGAGGTTGCCAACTACCGGAGATGTTTTGTTGCATGACTGCTCCAATAGCAACATCGAATGCATCAACCGCTATACTAAGCGTGGCTGATGGATCTGGGTGGGTGATAAGAGTGGCTTGCGCAAGAGCTGTTTTGATCTCTGTAAATGCAGTACGTGCAGAATCGTTCATTTCTAATCTGCGTGGGTTGCCTCGTAGTAAGTCGGTTAGTGGTCGTAACCGTTCTGCCGCGTGTGGGATTAAACGACGGTAGAAGTTAACCAGACCGAGGAAAGCCTTCAATTCCTTGAGTGAGGACGGCACGTTGTACTCCTTTATTGCTTGCACTTTGTCCTCACAAGGTAGAATACCCTCTTGCTTGATAACGTGACCCAGAAATATTATTTCTCGTCTACCCAACTCGCACTTGTCCGGGTTGACTACTATTCCATTATCCGAAAGGCGTTGGAATAATAGCGTAAGATGTTGATAATGTTCATCTACGTTTGATGATGCGATTAGCAGGTCATCAATATAGACGTGAACGAAATCGAGGTCTCGTACAATGCTATCGATAAACCTTTGAAAAGTCTGAGCAGCATTCCATAGGTATTCGTAGGTATTCGTAGGAATTCAAACAAACCGAAAGGAGTCGTAATAGCAGTTTTTTCGAAATCTTCAAGAGCGACTGGGATCTGATGATATGCTCGTACCAGATCGATCTTAGAAAAGATAGTCGTGCCCTTGTGCGACGCCGTGACGTCGTGTATGTGGGGGATGGGGTAGCTATCAAAGCGCGTAACTACGCTTAGAACCCGGTAGTCACCTCATGGTCTCCAACTAACACCATCTTTTTTGCGCACCATGTGAAGAGAAGCCCATGAACTGTGAGAAGGACGAATAATACCAGTAGCTAGCAAATTGTCAAACTCACGTTTAGCGAAAGCTACTTTGTCCGGTGCCAGTCGGCGAGGTCGTGCCGTGACTGGCGGTCCGCGGGTGACTATGTGGTGTACCACACGATTGGTCACCGATGGAAGCTCCTCGAGTGGTTAAGCGAGTACGAGGAATTTCTCGAATAAAGCGTGGAATTTATCGTCACGCGAGCAAAAAAGTGCCGAGCATTCGGTTCGCGTTCATTTGGGCTTTGCAGCCCATGAATTTACTGTTCGACGAAGTATCGATTAGCTGCAACCTACGTGAATCGACAAGCAACTCATAGTGCTGTAGGAAATCGATACCTAGTATGGCTGTGGGGACATCAGCAATGATGAACGTCCATAGATACCGTCATCGGTTGCCCAGGTTGACCGCGAATTGTCGTGTACCGTAGGTACGAATGACTGAGCCATTCGCAGCGCGTAGTCGAAGCACTGTGGCTTGTGACTTGCTGCTACCTCGTGGTACGACAGAAACTTGGGCTCCAGTGTCTACTAGGAACCTAGCGTTTGTGTGGTAATCGTGCACATAGAATAAGCGACCAACCTTGGGTGAAGGGCCGGCGAGTTCGGCGTTTCCCTGCCTTGTGTGAGCATGGTGCTCGACAATGGCGGGTGCCAGACCCGAAGGACCTATGGAACCAGCACCAACTTTCACTCGCTTCCGAAGCCGCCTTTCGGCGTGGCTTGGAGGATGCCCTTTTTGGGAAAGTGGTGACGGGTTTGCGAGAACTTGAGCGAGCTCGGGGGACGTAGGGTTGGGGTACGTTACAACGGTCTCGAAAACTAAGACGTGTGTGAATACACCCGTCCCTGTCGCCATGAGCTGAGGAGTGACCGGCGTCCATGTCTACTTTAGGACGTGCCGTTGAAGCAACTACATAGCTGTTTCCGTTACTAGTTCTCGCTAAAATTTTGTCTGCTATGAGGGCTACCTGGCTAAGCGGTGCGTCCTCGAGCAGGGCCGTCATAGTAGGTTGGATGTGAGCTGGTAATGACTCAAGTCACAATTCCTCAACTATTTCCGAGTCAGATGCTGTTGGTCCTGCAAGAGATTGCAGGCGCGTGAGGTGGTGGCTTGGTTTAGCATCACCCAGGGGGTGACGTGCCAACAATGTCCTTAATCGTTCCTCCCTCGATGGGAGGAAGTGTCGGAGAATTGCCTCTTTGAGGCGATCGTAAACATTAGGCACGTTGGAACTGGGGACAACCTCACGTACAGCTAGTAAATGGTCCCCGGGTAGTGACTCGAGAGCGAAGGCGTACTTTTGCCTTTGGCTCGTAATGCGACGAGTCTCAAACTGAAACTCTAATGCAGCAAACCAAACCTCTGGGTCGTGGGGAATGAATGATACAGGTCGAAAGTGAACGGCCTGTACGTCTGAGTCTGTGATATTAATACTATTCTTGTCGCTATCCGTCATGTTGAGTGTATTATATATTAAAAGATAATATGAAAATATACGACAGACGTGGATAGATAAACTATAGACTCACCGAATCGGCTTCTTTGGAAGATTTGACCAGAGGTTGGAGCGTGTTCCAAAATTTGGCTCAGCAGTTGTAACGTGGCGTCGAGTCCCAATTGACTATGAACACCGCTACCAAGAAACACGTGCCAAAGAAATCAGAAGGCGTAGGTTGAACGTAACCAGATTTATTTCGTTGGCGATCTCGTGGTATCAAACGAATACCAAGACCGTGCCAAGAAATGGTACAAGCGAAAGCAGGAAGGTGGAGTACGTGCGAACAAAGCCAAAAACCGCGGAACAATGATGGAAAGTAATAGAAGCACAAAATGGCTGTAATTAGCACAGTTAAACAAAAGCACGTTAAAACAAGCACTGGTACAGTTGGTTATAATAATAATTGTTCTCATTAAACCAGTCGTGTTCTCGTGATAAAAGTGAGTCACTACAAAGTCATCTTGAGTATTTTGTAACTTAGGAAACTACTCACTTCACTCAATATGGTTTTATAAGCAGATTACACTTAACGTTCATAATGTATTCTCTGAACAACTGGAATGGAAATCCATCGTATAGGGTTCAGCGTATTTGTTAGAATCGGTCACTACAGTTACAATCCTTTCGAAAAACCAAAATCGTTCAGGGTGGCGCCTTGCACGTAGTTTGTGGTTCGTTATGATGTTTGATTCTTAAAGTTTGTTTACTTTTCTATAGTACATGTAAATAGCCTAAGTCGTGTATATTACTAACACAAATTCACTTGTTTTTTAATCAAGTCAGCAGAAATTGTTGACGTTGGACCAAATAAACGTTTTGTTGGATAAACTACCAACATAAGTTTCTGCAATATCTGACCTAACTGTCTTAATAAGAATCAGTCCCTTTTTTATTAGGTTTGGTACTGTGCTCTTATGCATTCAGAACCGTGTTTATTGTTTGGTTTCATGTCCGTATCTCGCACCAAAAGTGTTCTCTAAGTGAGCACTAGTGTCTAGAATCGATCATGGTTTTCAAGGGATGCTTTATCTCCCATCGTACTGGTTTATACTTCCTATCCAAAAGAAACAGTTATTTCGGAGTATCTCACCTAACTTATACTTCAAAGCATTGACAACCATGTTAGTCATACTGTGTTTATATGCTTTGATTCATCTAAGCAGTATTAAGTTCATTTGCATTCATCTGAGATAAAGATAGTCTGTAAACCAAATGTAGCAATACAACAAGCTATTGTGACAGTTTGTTGCTCGTGGCTCTCAGTAATTAAGTACGAGTTACTGTATTAGTTATTATGTAGAGTCAATGAAGTACTCGACTGTCTAGACTAATTTCAAAAAATAAAATTGTGTACATGAAAGATTAAAGCCTTTACTCGAATAACCCCCCTATTTTCCTTGAATTTGTACAACCCATAACCTGACATCATTGTAATCCGTAGATGACAATATCAAAGAATCCACATTTTGTACAGCTTAGAATTTTCACTACCATTCTGTAATAAAAAAACACACTTAGATCGTATAAAAAGCGGACAATTTTTTGTGAAGATACATCACTGGTTTGGTGGCTAAAAGATTCGGTTTTAATTGTTGAGTTTTAGGCCAATTTCCAACCCACCTTTGGTAGTACTGTTAAAGCTTGCAAGCGGTGTAACTCAAGTGCGATTTAATAAACATGTGCTCAGTTACTGATTTACATTTATTGACAAAAAGAGGATAGTTTTAAGGGGAAGCGATTCAGTGAGTAATTATTCCAGGGCTTTTATCAATAAAGATTTATTTTATTTATTTATTTAAACACAAATATTGCTGTAAAGAGGTACCGAAATATATGTGCGCTACACAAAGTAATCAGTCAGTTTGTGTTTGGGCTGTGACGCTGTCCGAATGCCTAAACTTGAAACAGGTGGTTTCCTTAGACGGCCACAACCCGAGCCTTCGGCACAGGTCTTATCCACAAGACACTGGTACAACGTTAGGAGATGCAGTCCCGTGGTAACCGATGACCAACAATAGGCCCATTCGCCATTTGTTCCCTTAAGATTCTAGAGCCCGTATGCTCCGTAGGTTCAGAAAATCAGGGTTTCCCAACTTCCCTAGGTTGATTCTCTGTACTCACCAATCCTGTTTACGCACCGGACATTCGATTTTCTTCTCAGCTTTCTAAACAATGACCTCTCTGCGAAAAGGCAGTGAATAGGGTTTTCTGGCAGTAGTTATATACGCGTAACCATATGAGAGCATTTTGAGAGGGTATGCGGGCTCTTTCCACAGTCTGGCGTACCATGACATTCGGGGGCGTATCGGTATAAAGACACTGATATATCGGAGTTTGTACTAAATAGAGAGAGCATCTAGAGTACTTTGTTGGTTCTAATTACAAAGATGGCGTAATTTGAACATATTTAAGACCACCAAGATCTCTTCACCGTTTCCGAGCTCAGGTCACTGGTTTTTGTGTAGAGGTGCCGCCTTGATATTACTGTAGTGTGTGACGAGTTTCAAGGCAGATTTCGTCTACCTTGGATAGGTATCACTCAATAGAGAGTTGCCGCATTCACCTGTGATATGGTTAATCATACGAAATAGTTTAGTCAATTCTAGCAATCTAGTTTTTTGTGGCAAGTATTTCAAACTTAGTGCAACCCAGTTACCAGGTATAAACGATCGTCCACTCTAATGCTCTTTACCCCTAAGTATTCTACAGGAATTTTAAAATGACCAGGTATAAGCTTATTTAGTCAATATTAAGCCATGTTTCGTGTTAACACTAGCTGCTCAAACCTAAGTACGTAGAAGAAAGATTGGACCCACAACTCCGAGTGAAAGTCAAGAGGTTTAAACACTAACCCATCCATGGTTTACTATGTTCCTTAGCTTTCGTTTTTAAATTTCCATTTACGTATTATTAGCTAATCTCATTTATTAGTATTTTCAGGTACCTGGATTTATTTCCACAGATCTGACAATAACTGATGGCAACCGGGAGGCTTGTGAAGCGAAAAAACAAATCAACGAGTTTCCAAACGTTATTTGACCAAATTCTGTGCCGATCAGATAAGGTAAACTAATTGATACTGTGTATAAATGAATATAGTTATATAAAGGATCTGTAAAGTCAGACGAAAATATACTCCAACTGCTAGATGTTTTGGACAATTGTCGTAATAAGTGGAAAAGTACTTTCATAAAACTGTATTCCGTTCTGCGCGTTCAAAAATCAGAAGTTAAGCGACTGACAAATTTACAGGTAAATTTATTGTTATTTTCTTGTACTGTCCAGGCCCATACTCAGGCTATGTTCGAAGCTGAAGTTCAGAAACGACGTCGTATAGAACGATCAAGGAAATCTCTTGAACACAAGATTAATATGATAAGACAAGTGCTGCTCGTTAATGATGTTGATAGCGCCAGACGTCATCTTGATGCGATTGACCTTTCCACGAATGAAATCAATCAGTCTTGTAATGAATGGTCAGTAGGTTCTTCAATCGGACATGTCAATACACCTATCGATTCAGAGTCTGTTGTCAAAAAAGGCCGTAATAGGTAAGGTTATTTTATATCCACTGATTTTTCTGCCCCCTAGATATTACCTGTTTTCAATATAGTATCAATTTTTATGCCTAGATTTAATGCTAAGCTTGACATGACTGACGGCTTTCTCTTAACTAAGTTGTGGGAATGCATCATGAACTGACTATTCAAGTTCTGTTTTAAGATTATTTTCTGAAGCTTACTCTCGTCCCCAGGAGAGCGGTATAATCAAAAGCAGTGACAACTGTAGTCTTTGATGATGTCCCTAGAACGGAACCATTCTGGAAGGTGCATTGGAACTTGATTTTAGTAAAATCCTCCCTTCAGATATCTAGTATTTCCAACCTAGTTTTCTTCCGGTTCGTCTAGGCCAACAGCTAAGTTAGCATTAAAATCCAAATCTGGACATATTAATCCCTTCGTTTTTCCTAAACAAATCTCACTAGGATGATATTCAACAGTATTTTCCGTTTATTTAGAAAGCACGATTGATTTCAATTTATAGCTTAGTTGCCTGCCAATTAAATTTCACAACCTGTGATAACTACAGGTATTCAGATTGCATATTGAGTTTCAGGTATCGTGATCAGTGTCCTCATGATGTTGTAAACCAGTGATTGGAGACCTTGAGTAGCATAACTAAAAATCAGCTCAATCGGTGTAGATTCATTCATTACATCATCCGAATTTTCACCATACTTTGTACTTACATTTTTCGAAGTAATGTTTAGGCTCTAATTTCTGCTCCTTTAATTGTTTAACATACTTCCTGTTAAATGTGGTTAGTCTATTTCTGCACCACGTTTTACACACTACCTATTTGCCTTTTCTCATCATGTTACTCGAGGCAATAGAAAACAGTAATTCAAATGAATTTTTTAAAAAATGGTGAATATCTCACTTTTCCCCTCGACTCATATCCTTTTTTGCTTTCATGGTTGTTTTTTTCTGATGTAGTACAAATATATATACTTACACTAATTCTTATCTGTACGTAGTTCTGTGGTACCGAATCAGTTTAATTTCATTCAGCATCATCCAAATTTACCAGCGCTTGGTTCAGATCTGACCAAACCACATTAAACGGAGTAAAAAAATATTGCCAAATAAATGTGATTTCAGTGTGATACGGCAACTCAGTGTTTGATATCAATGTCACCAGTGGGTAGCTAAGTTAAATATATAGTTCTCATAAATGAAATACTATTCACCGATCCATTTTTTAAAAATATTTCCAAACGAAGTATATTTATTGTGGAAAATCTAGACCTTAGTCGTTAACCTTTGTTTAAACAACCAAGTTATATTGCTTGTTGTTGCATTTTATCTAATAGTTAGCTTGATATGAAATTTTTTTAACTTTTCCTGCCTAGATGCTGTTCTAAAACGATTGTTAGTATCATAGAATTTATTAATGCAATGAGTATCAAATTTCAATATTAATTTTATTTAGTCTCATACATCTTGATTTATTTATGTTTAATACTTAACTTTCTATTGCCTTTAACCTCTGGGTGTGATTTAATTTTAAAGCGGTCGCATATCGAAGAAATTGGGTAGAGCCAGTTCAGTCAGTCATACTGGTGCTGCCAGACGTTCTGCTACAAAACAAGAATTACGATGTGCTTCTGTGCAAAAGTTTATCGTACGTCGTTCAGGAGAAAGTTTATCCTCAAAATCTTCACAGAATAGTGCACAGGTAAGGAAAGTATAGATTATTATTTTACATGTGTTAAGTTGCTGTCCTATTTGGCAAAGTGTTCGTACGTTAAAAGCTCCTACGTGTAGTTTAGAGCGTGGTTTCAGGAGACCAGGAATAGCGTTCCACGTACTCGAATCGTTTGCCCTAGCAGTGCGAGATGATAAAGAGACGTGAGGAGGGTTAGTCATGGAGATAAGAGAGGTATTAGGAGGTATAGGAAGGATTTGAATGTGACCAACTTGGTTTTGTGTGCTGTTACGGGTATGAGGGCTGGTGTCACTTCCCGGCTGCCCACACCATGTAAGGGTATTTCTTGAGGAACCTGAAAAGGAAATTGGATTAGTGTTGGTCTTGACGACCTGGGAGCGTGACCGCAGAGCCCAAGGGACAACTGCTTGAGGCCGGTCGCCCACGGCCTTTTCGTGGAAGGTTTTTGACGTGTTAACTCCGTTCTTCAAAGGGCCTTACCGCCGGAGACGGAAATCCGTGAGGCAAGGTGAGGTGTGACATTTTTAGGGTCGACCTTTTCTAACCCCACCCCTCCTTGTGGGAAGGCAGCATCGCTGTCATGCTGGTTGTCCGAGGGAAACACCTTACTGCTGTCACCCCTCTACGGTCATCAGTACGACTTCGCCCTCAGACCTTGAGTTGCTGCTTTTAGTCTTACCGTTCACCAATCGACCTGCCTGGCATGGTAGAACCTACAGGAACCTACAGGTCATCACGATAGGCAAACCCGACCACCGCGTCAAGGTAGCAGCTTCGGTCGGGACCATCGAGTAAGTAACACAGTTGTTAGGGAACGGGTACTAGGTAAGGATGGCAAATCAATTGATGAAGTAGTGAAACTTCATCAGTTGAGATGGCTGGGACACGTGTTACGTATGCCCAACCACCGACTGCCTCGACGTGCTATGTTCAGTGGTATAGGAGTGGGTTGGAAGAAAGCTAGGGGCGGCCAAACCAAAACATGGCACAAGTGCATGAAGTCACTGACAAGTGGACTGAGTCATGTTGGTAGGTGTAGACTACCTGGTTGGGGACCGCGAGATGATAGCAACCAATGGTTAGAGACTCTGAATGACATGGCTCAAAATCGTTTGCAATGGCGCAGGTGTATCCTCTCTTTGTGTTCTCCCAAATTCTAATCTTCTGAATTCTTCATGTCCCTTTTTTCCTCTTTCCAAATTTATTTCACTGTATTATACTCTTTAAACAACATCTCCAAACCCTAATCTTCCCGATTACTGCTTATACTTTTACTACCTCTATCACTATGGGATTTGAGTCGACAACTGCATCTCTGTGCTAATGTGGCGTGCCAACTCGAACTGATGTACGTACGTACGAAGTTCTACGTTGTTACTGACTGACTGACTGAAGTTGCATATTTTACGGGAAGCTTATTTGTATGTTAATCTGTTCATGCGAGGAATCAGTCAACATATGTATACATATATAAAAATGTGGTTCGCATTATGAGTGACTAATACCTGGCTGTTTTACTTAAATTTTATGTCTTCATTTTAAGTGTAACTGTTATTTACAATTTAAAACGGTGAATTGCTAATGTGTTTTTTAATTTTTTTATATTTAGAGACTAGGAACCATAAATCGTTTAAATCGTCCTCACAATTTTGTTTCACGAACTGTATTACGAATGGAAGTGTGTAGTGCATGTGGTCGCCGCATTACTTTTGGTAAAGCTTCTTACAAATGCTTAGTTTGTCGTCTTGTAGTACATCCGGCGTGTCGACAAATGGTAATAGCCTAATTTTTTATATTTCTGGTAAAAAATTTGTATAAATGGACTCGTTTGTCTAATTTAACGCTCCCTCTGAATAAAACAGTGTTTCTGCAAAGAAAATAAACTTAGCTCCTTACTTGAAAACTACTGGTTGGGCCAGAGCCTATGCCAAACTGACGTCAGAATTGACAACATCAATTTGTGTTTTTCAGGGCTACCCCACTCTATCCACTTTTATTTAACTTCGTCATAGGCATTGTGTTAGAGATAACACCATTCTATTGTCTGACTTTTCAGGGAAAGTTCATTTACCGGGAGACTTAATTACCAAACTAAAATATGAAAATGATGTGATTCTGTTTGTTAAGGGCACGGAATGTTGAGTCTTTTGAGGATCTTAAGTAACAATGGAAGTATGTTCGGACTGCATTTCTTCTTACTTAAACTCAAAATGTCGCTACAGGAACTGTTTTATGCCAATGATAAAATTAGTGATAAGTAGTGATATGATTTCTCTTATTACAACCCAGCTACTCTTATTTCTTGGTATTCTTGAACTCTGTTTCAATCGACACGTCGCCGAATTAGAACATGGTTGAATAGGAACGTACTTATTTCCCAAATAGTAAGAGTGGAAGAAAGTAGGAATCTCAGCAAGAAAAACGTTAGTGTATTTATAAATTTTGCATGAGAAGATTCTAGTTTTCTCCAAGTATCCGCTAGCACTGATCAGTTAAGAAATAGCCATTCAGAGTAACTCAACACAATCCGCAACGAACATGCTTTATTCCAGTCTATATCCCGCTAACAAGAAGTGAGTTAGTCAAGTTCGTGTATGTTAGAATTATTGAGTGAACACTGTCGAGGTTATGTGTAGGATGCTAGACAGAAATGACAGATCAGATAGACATAATCAAAATAGAGCCTGGGATGGATTTGCGCTGTTCCAAGTTGCCATACCACCTTAGCATGATGACATGAAAATAACAGAAGAAATCAATATTTGGTTCGCTTCTGTGAAGGCTAGTTTTTTAAATTATGATGGTTTAATATGTTTATATATATATAGTGTTTTGCTTTGAGTCTGTTGTCTGCTTATGAAGTCATATGAAACTGGGATTAACATTCAATTAACTACTGAATATTAAATTTATATTAATGTTTATCAATGTGTTATTTGTTCTAAGCCTATTATGTTGCAACTTGGAAATTTATCAGTAGACATGCTTATCGGCGTCCGACAAGGGTGGTCTTTCTTGACTTACAAGCAGCATTTGACTCTGTAGCAGTGTCTGTCACTGAAAGCTGTACCTCATAAGTACATAAACCTTGTGAAGACTCTTTACTCAAACACTACCTCAAGTGGTGTCCGTCAAGACTGTCCACTATCTCCATTTTTGTTTAACTTGATCACAGACCTACCGCTGGAATTAACGTTCTCGTCCACTGAAGTTTCGGGCATTGATCTATTAGGAGGTCCACTTGTCGGCTTAGAATACGCAGATGACATAGTCCTGTTTAGTGAAGACTCTGATAAAATGCAGTCTTTTGGTAACACTGAGTAACAATGCCAGGATGTTTGTTATGCGTTTCTCCCCCTCTAAATGCAAGTTATCGCTTCAGGACAGGCCTGCATCAACACCTGTACTAAGGACAGTAGGTGAAGTAGTCGAACGCGTCGCCAACTTCACTTATCTTGGACGTCTGATCAGTGCTAATGGGTTGGTATCTGACGCAACCTCTATATGGATTCAAAAAGCTCGTTTGTCTTTTGCCAACTTACGCCACCTATGTCGAAGGCGAGATATCCGTCTATTAATTAAAGGATGAGTATACTACGTAGCAGTTCGTTCTGTTCTACTTTACGGCTGCGAAACGTGGCCACTAAGGGTAGAAGGTACTCGTAAGTTGCTAGTATTTGACCACAGATGTCTCAGAAATATTGCTCGCATCTGCTGGTATCACCGGGTAAGTAATAGTGAGGTTAAACGCAGGGTATTAGGGAATTATGGTTAATCAATTGATGAGGTTCTAAATCTTCGTCGATTAAGATGGTGGAGCCACGTGTTACGTATGCCTGAACACCGACTACCACGACGCGCAATGCTGACACTATTGGTGAGCATGGTTGGAAGAGCGATAGGGGCAACCAAACCAAGACGTGGCATCAGTGCTTGAAGTCACTAACTTCTAGTCTGAGCCATGTCGGTAGATGAAGACTACTTAGTTGGGGTCCGCGTGACTATCGTAACGTATTGTTGGAGACTGCGTGACATGGTTCAGAATCGATCACAATGGCGTCGGTGTATATTATCTTTGTCTTCCTTTAAACTATGAGATTAAAATTGCTTCATATCTTTCTTTCTACGAACTAATTCTTTCTTCCTGTACCATATACTCATATGCAATGTTTCTTTTATATATTACCACCACTGAATTAACTACTTCTATGGATTTGGTGTTCATCTTTTTGTGCTAATGAAGTATGGCAACTTGGACCGATGCATATATGTACCTGGTCCTATGTTGTAGCCGACTGACTGAGTAGATGCTAAATCAGAAATTCAACCTTAAATGTTTACTGTACACATTATCAGTTCTCTTTGGAATATGAATTTATTTTCTCCCAACTGTTTCCTGAAAATTTTGTATAGCTTATTCAAACTTGTGTACCACCGAGTGTACCACGTGCAAATTTCACTTCTCAAACAAGTCGCAATCTACCAACACCCCATCACATTTCTGCGTACATTCCTATTTCACCATTAACACAACCTCAAACTCATGGTTACGGAGATCCACTACTTTCTAGTCCGACATTTGCCAATAGAATGAGATCGCGCAATATAAGCTTGTCTTTATTATGTCCATCTGATCAGTTTCCACGAGTTCCTGCACTGGTAATACATTGTGTGAATGAAGTTATGGCTCGTGGTATGAAAACTGTTGGACTCTATCGAGTCTCTGGTTCTGAAAAGCAAGTTCGAGGTATGTTTGAATTTGGAATTTATCGGTTGAATAGATTAAAAGATAATTTATCGTAACATTCTTGCTGACGGAATGGTTATATTAATTATCATCAGTCTATTACAAAATTATGGGCACCTATATGGTCGATTTGTTGTTGTCTCTCGATTCAGTCAAGTGCATAACTCGAAGCATATAAAAAGCGTTTCATTTGTTGGGATGTAATTTGTCTGGATCTTGTATTAGTCACGATTATCGTTAATAAGGCATCGGCAACTGTTATGTTGTGCTGTCGTCCGTTTCTAATACTGATATAGAAGCTTTTTATAATCAAGCTCAACCAGCTACTTGAGTGATAAGATCGTGAGTGAGAAGTAAACGAATACTAAAATGGAGATATATGTGTAAACTCATACATTTTTGTCTCTTAGAAAAGAAAGTCAAATCCTGACAAATAACGTGCTCTCATCGTTTGGTCTGTATGATTGGCCTAGCGTATCAAATAGAATGTCGCATATTGTTGTTAGCTAGTCGACATAAATGAAGTGAAGAAATTTATTCATTTTAACGGCAAATGATTAGTAGTATGCAATTTATTTAGTTATCAAAATTTTTATGGGTATGCTCCAAAACGGAAATGATATCATTTTAATAAGTGCTTTGTAGATATCCCAAGTTATCTTACAGTGTTAGAGAACTTTTTTTGTAGCCAATACCTTAATCCAATATTCATGTGAATAAGTATTTTTTATTTAACGTTCAGATAACATCGACCTATTTCAACTGTATTTACGTACAATATTATCTAGAATTAAGAAGAAAGGGTGATTACAAGGTGGTCGCTTAGTCTGTTATGCAAACGTGTGTAGTGTGGGTTACTTATATTCACACAAGTAGTATATAACGGTGGTCAGGCATAGAATATATTTCAGTAGATCGATGAGGAAAGAACCGGAACGGAACGCGATTGGTATGAAAACACATGAACAACGAAATCTGAGACAATGGATCGATGTTTGCAACAGGAACAGTCAAGTTTGATATTATGGATTGATATTTTGCAAATTAACGATTTACTATATGGTTCTCAGATTTTATTGAGATGCTCTGTAATTTAATGTCAAATACATTCGATTGTCCCAACTGGTGTTTGTGTTTACTACACGTGTACATGAATGGTTGATAGCTTATACTAATCTACACTCGAGTATGTAAATATGTTTGTGTTTCTAGTAACATATGAAGTTACACAATTAATTTGAATCATAGTTATATATGTATACACTTTAGTTAACGATTCATACATGGTTTACAAACTAATGAACATGTTACCAGTGGCTTAAATAAACTATTACACTTCTATTTACTACTAAAGTGTTTCTTATATTCCCTTCTGCTTTATTGTATGTTAGATTTATATGAAAAATTCCTACGCAGTCGAAGTACACCAAGCTTGGCATTAATAGAAGATATTCATGTAGTCTGTGGGTGTTTAAAGTTGTTTTTGAGAAGTTTAGAAGAACCTTTGGTAACTTACCTTCAAAGACCGAATTTTGTCGGAGCTAGTGAACAGTATCTAACTAATCCTACAAAAGCATATGATTGTGCTTTAAATGTCTTGAAAAATTTACCGACACCTAATCGACATACTTTGTCATTCATTATGCTTCACTTAAAGGTAAAATTCATTATTAGTGTCTTTCTTAACTTTTTAATTGATTTTCTAAAAGTTTCTTATCATTTTACTTAAACTCCTTTAATCATTTTTGTTTCATAGGCTGTGTCTAAAACATCACTATGTCAAATGGGTGAAGACAATTTGGCAAAAGTTTTTGGTCCAACATTAGTTGGTTATTCTTGTCCAGAGCCTCAAGTTATGCAAGCTATCTCTGAAACAAAACCACAACAAGATGTAGGTTTATTTAACAATAGGAAGTTGTTGGGTTTTTTTCCTAACATTTAATCCATCTGCATTAATAATGAATAATAATTACTTCAGGGTTTTGTAATGTGTTATATTTCTACACAAGGCATTCAATTGATTAGACGGTTTCATTTTTGAGTTTAACTAATCCTTATTACAGTATTAAGTTAACCAATGAAAGATATTTTATCAATGTAAATCAATTATCATTTTTATAATCGCGTTATTTATTTATTTGAACACATAATCATTGGTGCAAGGAGGCACCAAATATATATGCGCCACGCTTCGTCATTCGATTTGCGTGAGGGTTAGGATACTTCCTGGATGCCCAAACCAAAGCAAGTGGTTTTCTTGGGGGGCACTTCTCAAGTCGTTAATTTAGAAATCTAATCCACAAAACAGTGATGCAGCGTTAGGGGATACAGTCCCATGGTAACAGGTGATCAACAATAGGTTCATACGCCATTTGTTACCTCAAGATTCTGGGGTCTTTGTACACCATTGGTTTGGAATCAGGGTTTTCAAACTCCTCTAAGTGAACCCTTCGTGCCCACCAGCCTGGTTAAAGCGCCGTCTTCTCAGTTTCCTAAACAACACCCCCCGTCGTGAGAACTAATTAATTTGTGTTATTTAATCATTTCTAAGATTTGATTAAATATCTCACTTTCAGTATGTTATTAGAACCATACATAGTGTTACATAGTTGAAATGAGTTATAATTCCTCATTGTTAATTTATTATTTAATTAACCTGATAAATTCAACTTCAATACAGCATCAATAGTAATTCTTGCGATTTATAGAGAATCCAACAAATGATCAAGATTTTGATGATATATTCAGATTGTTTTACAAAAATTTGTTACTAGTATCTAATATAGCATGTCATCCAATCTTTGGTTATCACAAAAAATCTATTTGTATAGACTAGAACAAGTTTAGTTGAATTTAATAGTGTTCAGCTTTTAAAGAAAAGTATAATCAAATCTTGCATCCTGGTATATGCTACTTATACTGACAGATATAAGTAGTATGTAGCTGTAATCGTAGATGGAAGCTTGAATTGAAGAGAACATAAAGGAAATCCAGAAGGAATGAAAATAAAAATAGACTTAGAGGAATAATTGAGCAAGCGAAGGACAATTGATAGATGTCCAAATGATTTATTTCATGTATAATTTTCATATTTTACCAAGCCACTGTGTAATTTTGCACTAAACATTAAATTGGTTGTCCTCACCAAGTCTTTGTTTATTACAATATTACTGTATATTGTGATTTATATTTAATTTGTCTTTCCAAAACTTCACTTTTTGTTTATTTGAAGTATTGAAAATAATAATTATTATTATTTACATACTTTTTTTATGTAAATGTATTGTGTTTAGGTTCTACGATTACTTTTCAGTCTTTCTGACGACATCTATTCATCGTTTCTATCGGATTGGGATAATACTTCTGAAAATAATAGTGAAACACGTACAAATTACTTCACATCTTTAACTACAGATATGAGTTCATCAGAAATAACACCTAATTCACATAATAATAATAATAATCGACTTTGTGACATGGGAGGATCTACTCGTAAAGGATTTTTACCCAATCTTTTATCATCATTTCGAGATATGTCTAGTTAAAATATAATTAATAATAATACACCCCTCTGTTGATTTATTTACTATTGTACTTCTTTGTTACTTCCACACTACGAAAGAACCATACATTATCCTTTTCTAAACATTATTACATGTATAAAATAAAAAGAATTTATATATATATATGTAGGTTTCTTCATTTTAACTATTTTTTTTACCATTGTAACTGATCACTAGTTCATTGTTTCTTCTTGAATACTCAACGTGTCAACTGTTGATATTTTGAATATGAATAATCATTGGCTACATTTTTTTATAGGTTCAATTGAATATTTTAGAATTTCATCTGATATTCTCATTTAGTGGCCCAAGATCTGATTCCAGTTAGATTGTATGTTTGTTATTGATAATATATATATTCTGATTATCTCGTATATAGTTATCGACTTAGATCGTGTTATTGGGTATATCTGAATTAAAATAAGTCAAATGCGAGAATGGATTTCGAATACATATTTTGTACATTCATCGAAACGGACAGACAATCACAAGTGCGAAGAGAAGGGAGCGAAACGAAATGATGCGCAGTGGAGAAAGCGTATGAGCCAAGACCATCTAATCAAGCGTTAATAGTCACACGAAAATAAGTTACATACATGTGATGAGTGAGATAAGAAGTGCACACACGCGCTTATATAAAAAGTCAAGGTCGATAAGTGAATAATTAACAAGGTCGAAACGTGACTCAAGTGGAATGCACAAATTGGCCTGTTCAGAAGGTAGAATAAGTTATTTGGGCTTAACATAGGGACCGACACTACATTCACAATTTTAACAGTCATTAAGTTAAAAGTAGGCAGACAAAGGAGATGGTGCACAGAGTTCTAGATTCATCTACATAACGGTAATCGATCTAAGGCATGTTGGGTTAACTCGCAAACTACTAATCCCCATGGTATATACAATCTAAGCATAAAAGCTTACATAGGTGTAGTTAAATTTTTTTAATAAATCCAATAATGAAAGAACCATGTAATTTGCATGGGTGTTCAGTTTCCTTTCGCATCTGGATTTTCTACTTAGAGGTATTGATTAGAGGGAAATCCAACGAGACATCATCCTCTACGAGATATTTTACGATAAATACATTATACTACTGTGCATCAAAATAAGAACTCAATTATTTATGACAGTGGATTTACATTAACAATCACCGTATGGGTATTTTTCTAAAAGCCTGTTTTGTGATGTATTGCAACATGAACTTCGTGATAAACCATATATCTTAACGATATAGCCCCCTTGCTATCTCAACCATATCATCTCATGAGTATGTCCAGTGAAGTGAACGACAATCTTACTGATATAGTGCGACTATCGCGTGGTTTAGATCCTGAGTATATTAGGGAATACTGAGGATGCTTTGACTCAATATAGAGCTGGCTTATACAAAAATTAGAAAACTACAGGAAATGCATACATACACTGTATTCCTTTCATATATGTCTGTACCACAGTTCAACCAATAACACTTGTCGTCGAAGACAAATAAGGTCCAACCAACTGGAGTCCACTGTTTCATCAAATGAACAGTCTTGATGGAACATAGAAATAGACCCACAATCCCCTAAATATAATCAATAGTGGTAAGTATTTTTCACTATATTTGATCACAAGTTACCAAGTATGGATTGGAGAAGCATGGATGCGATTCTATCTTACGCATTTTTAATATGACTGAATAATAAATGTAGAAAGTCATTGAAATCTGTCGTGGAGCAGTTGCGACAGTTTTTCATGCTAGTAGAACAAATTAATAGTGTCCCAAGGCCTTTTGCTATACGCTGCCACTGATCTTTTGCATTATTTATTACTACTGGGCTACAATTCTATTCCCTGTTGATTTCTCATGTTGCAACAATGTACAATTCAAGAGAATGAAAACTCAGGTGGAGAAAATCAATTTACTGTTTAATACAAAATTACACAATGGCTTAGTAAAATATGGGGATTACACATTAATTGCATATCTTCAACCAATTGTCTTTTACATATTCCATAAATACTCTAATTTCGTTATTTCGATGCTGTCAGGATGCCTTCCTTCTGTCCACATTGCAGACTTCTGCTGACAGGCATTACACATCCGGTTGCGACTTATTTTATTTATTCTTTATTTTAGCACACATTGGTACAAGGAGGCACCGCCACACAAATCTCATTTGACATGTGTGAGGGCTGTGATACTGCCTGGGTGCCCAAACCGGAGCAGGCGGTTTCCTTGGGGGGCCACACTCGGAGCCTTCGACCTAAAGGTCTGATCCACAGGGCAGTGGAGCATCGTAAGGAGATGCAGTCCCATGGTAACCGGTAATCAACGATTGGTCCATACGCCATTTGTTCCTTTAGGATACTGGAGCCAATGTGCACCATTAGTTTGGAATCAGGGTTTCCCAACTCCCCTAGGTGGACTCACCGTGTCCACCGGCCCGGTTAGAGCGCCGGACATTCGCTTTTCGTCCTCTCATTTTCGTAAACAAGACCCCCGCCACGAGGAGGCAGTGAGTAGGACTTCCCTGGAAGAGGCTGTATACGCGTGGTCATGTGGGAGCATTTCGAGAGGGAGAGTGGACTCTCTCCACTCAGCCGTACCAGGGTATTCGGGGGCTTCGATTGCGACTGCATACTACTCATATCTATTAATGCAAGTAGCATACAACACAGTCCTTACAAGTTGACAATTCAAAATATTGCCATTGTGTTTTTTTTCAAGTTTGGTTAAATGAAACCTAATGCTTGACACGCAACCACTTTTTCTCCTTCATTTCTGTAAATGGCTCAGCTGTCATCACTGATATTTTGTAGTGGCCAGTAGCAGAATCCAGATGCACTATCATCCTTGCATAGAATAAAGGCTTCCCACACCCTTATGCAATTTACTTATTATTGTCAGTCTTTTGATGTAATTCAACTTGTGTAAAAGTGCTTTTTGTACATATCAATAAACTCTGTATTTTTACATATATGAATACAATCTTTAAAAAAGAATATGAACGACTTATACAAAACCCGATAAAAAGTAGATAAAAGAAAAGCACACAAAATTATCAACATTTACGAGTAAACAAATTGCTATCAAGTTTTGTTGGTACAATAATTGGATGAAGTAGTTCAACAAAATCTGTAATTTCTTCTTGTAAATGATCATCAGCAGGACTGCCAACTACACTGATCTCTACCATCCAACTACGAGAACATAAACGTCGCCAATCTTTGGGTGCTAATCCCTAAAGTTAATTGAAATATATATATTAGAGCTTCTTATCGTTAATATTTATCACGATATAAAAGGTGATGAGAATATCCAGTTATAATAATGTTTCTAATAAGAACTATTGAACAGATATAAGTCCTAACAGCATGGAAGTATATTGGGTAGTAATCGTTGGGGAGATCCAGAAAATTCCTAGAGAAAACCCCAAAAGGGTCTGGAAAACCCTGTGAAACATTTTATTCAATCAGCATTGAATAGAGGCTTCTCAGAAACATCTAGAGAGTGAAGGGTCACGTGTCACATTTCTATCTTGCTACCATGTTTAGCAGGGTTCTGAAGCCGAAGGCCATCCGAACTACTATAAATACCCTCAATTTTCTGTACATAAACTAACCTTGGAGTAACGTGTCTTTCATAGATTTCGCGCCTTTTCTTTCGTGTTCAAATTGTCGTGTAGATTTAGCTTAGGTAACCGATTCAGGCGTTCAGTCAAAAGATCTATCAGTAATTCGTTTATATATTTATTAATTATATAAACATGTATATTCTCTATGTTCCTTTATACTATGAAATTAAAATCGCTCCATATCTATCTTTCTACGAACTAATTCTTTCTTTCTGTACTATATCCTTACATAAAATCTTTCTTTTATATATTACATTGAGTTGACTGCTTCTATGAATCCAGTGTTCATCTTGCAGTGCTAATGAAGTATGGCATATATGTGCCCGGTCCTACGTTGTAACTAACTGACTGTTTAAATTTAATACAATGAAATTGTTCAATCAAAGGTGGCAAACTTACCTGATTAATATAGTAATCCTTATTTACTTAACAATATGAGAAAGTTTTAATTGATACTCTGGTAAACGCAATTTTAAAAGACTATGATAACAAACTCCGAGACACAAGATAATTAAGATTTATTCAATCAGATTTTGAGTATTTTAAAATCAACTAAAATGATAATTGAGTTTGAACCCATTTACTTTTGAGCGTTAAGGTCAATTAAGTTAACCTGTTGAAATATTACATAAAAATAATTAGCAAAACCTTAATTAGATATCGGCTCAATGGTCTAGATGTTAAGCATTCGCGTGAGAGAACGAAGTTCCTGAGTTCGAGTTTCGCGGGCAGGATTATAGATACGCACTACTGATGAAGCCAATACTGGGATGAAACGGCCGTCCAGTGCTTGCAAGTTTTCAATGGTGATCTAACTTAGATTTGCTTGTGAATTCAACTGTTAAAAATCTTCATTCTTAATGAAACAGCGGTGAGACTATAATTTATGGACGAACCAATCAGATATAAGATAACGAGTCACAAATTTTGGCGCGAAATCCATCCATACATTTGACTAAATAGAGTTTTGGTATTATAACTGATGTCGATTCGTGATGAAAACCCTAAATCTAATTTTTAACCCTAACCATCAACTGTGAATGAGAATTCTAACTGCTTTATAACCCTCATTTAGTCATATTCAGTAGGTGTCCACTTAAGTCACTTCAGCGTCGCTCAAAGGTCGTCCATAAATTATAATCTCACTGAAACAGCATTTCCCTAATATTATGTGAGTGTTAGAACGCAGTTAGAATTAGAAGCTACAACTTTGTAACAAAATTTAAAGGTAAGTGTAATTTAGAAAAGTTAACAATTAACACAGAAATACAGATCTTAATTAATAGGTTTTTATTCTTTATCATAAGTACACTGTCATATGAAGTCTCATTTAGATTGGAAGTTAAAAGGCTAACAAGTTTACATTATACATACAACATTTTAATATGAAAACAGTTAAGTGTTCATGCATAAAGAAATAATAAGAAACACTTACTTTTATGAGAACATCAATCTTTGATTACATAATAATAAAAAACTAACTAACCTGTCCATCAAAACCAAATCCCATAGCGTTTGAAGTTGCAATACTTTGAAAGCTGGTTATTTCATTAACTGTATAAACTAAAACTTTCACACGTCCACGAATAAATTCTTGACCTTCAGCAACAAACGTAGATTCATAGTCAAATCCCAAATCATATAGAAAACTAACGATTGGTCCAGTAACCGGCATTTCAAGACAACTACGTCGTAAAATCTGAAATCATAATTAAAAATGGCAGAGAAGTGATATGGGAAAAAATAATACAAAAACATGAAATACCATTACGAAATAATAAAGTATAAAAGTACTTTTTATCAATAATAAACGACGTTGTCTGAGAAGAGGTCGATAGAATGTAAATGGTAGAAGCCAGTGAATCTCATTACGTTATATATATTTGTTAGTTGTCATAAGAGATTAATTCTTTTAATCCATATATGTTGGTTGTTTGTATCTTCCCATTGATGTTTAGAACAGCAATTGATCAGTCTCTTCGAGTAAATAGGCATCCTGTGCTAAGTGACTTGATATTACCGTTACGTTAAAAATAATTAAAGCAGAAATAGATTGTGGCTAACAGTGAGATCGCGATGAATTTTGAATCGGTTGGTACCGGGTTCGAGTCCCGGAGTGAACATCAACTGCGGGAGGCAGGTGCATCCGTCTGAAGCTCGAATAGGATGAAACACACGTCCTGAATTCCACTGCTATCCTCTATCCATCTGTGTTTAAAAAATTTTGAATGCTCTAATGAGATAAGTAGCATGCTTAGCAATAAACAGAATGATGTGACAAAGCTTAAGGCACATCAAAATACTCTCAGTTCGTAACAATAAAACGGTCACATTTCGATTTCTCTTATTTAGAATAACCTCAGATGTTAACCTACTTAGCCATCACGCAATACCAAGCTTTGCTAGGATTATGGCCACACACAATTGACTCGTAAGGTAACAGAAAAGAACCAAAGGTCTATTTAGTGAATGTATAGCCAAATATTAGTTCTAAAGTCCTCATGATGAAAACAGAAGCTTATAGATGAGAACGGTAGTCGACATTCATCAGTTAAAAAGAATAATAATTTAAGGAGATAGTGTTGAGGTTAATCGACGTAAAGCAACTGAAAAAGTTGGGACAGGGGTTAATAATTATTCAATACTGATTACCAAATAGCTAGTCAATATTTGAGCCTAATTAGAAAAAAAACTAGTTTCAACTATCAATCAGCACACATGTTTGTAATAATATGCGCATACAATGATACGACAGGTCTAAATAAACAATTACAAAACGACATGTAATCAATAGATTGAAATTCCATACAAGCAGAATAGCTTAATCAAAAGTCCTGATAGTGTTTTCTTTTTAACCAGACATAACTTTACTTACAATCTGAGTGTACATGACAACAGGTAGACTTATAAGTACTAGAACTAACTACGGTAAAAAAAAACGTAAAGAATGAAATCGAAGCATATACGGTACGCATATGTGCATATGACCAATTATTATTCTGTCATCTGTTCAAATGCTGCGGAACTATACTTATCCTAGTCATCTGTATGTAGAGGATACAGTTGACCGAAGACGTTAAATTATTTTTGCAAACCGACGACTGTTAATCATCGGTTGTTCAAGGAAATTTTTTATTCCTTCTTAAGTAGTTTTTTCGATAAAAATTCTAATTACGCTATTCCTACATACTTCAACGTAATAATATCATATGGTTGACAGATATATGAAGATTAGTCTTTAAATGGTTATGTTATTGGCTGATGTATCATTCAATACCCAGATGTACATAACAGCTGATTTATCCTAGTTTAGGATTCTTTAGTAGTGCCCATTAACGATCACATATTATACTGAAGACCTTGGTAGACCTATTAGCCAATCAGGAAATGCTACTTAGTTATAAAACTATTAACAATACAAAGTAATGGAATAACGGCTTTCATAGTAATAATTAACGCATACAAGTTAAATTTTCCATTGTAGTACAGAAAAAAGGACATGTTTACACGTATACGTACTGGGAGTCGGGTTAATGTTGTGAGTTGGGTAATCACACCATCCGTTATAATGGATAAAAGGTTAAGAGTTAAACTGAACTTTCGAGCTAGGTTTACAAATTAAGATCAGTATTTTTAACACGAACTGACACCGGCTATAATGCAATACCTTACTATCTTCCAGTTTACAAACCTGTGGAACTTAGAGTTAAGATTTCTAGTGAAAGTAAGATTGGGAGAGCATTATCTAGCTTTACTAAACAGTCTTAATTACACAATGAACGACATCATGTACCTTAACAAACAATTTACCTTAAGAGTAGGTATGTTATGTAATTTAGTTTAAGCACGACCCAAAATCCGATATTCAATTGCATAGTAGATATTTTCACTGATATATATAAACTTACTATTTTATCAGTTTCTACGGCTCCTAAATATCGTAGAACAGAAAATTCTCGACCAGGTTTATTTACTCTACTTAAAAGACTTCGACGAACACGTATAGTGACAGTTGCACTACCTGATGCAGTGGCAGCTAAGACGCCAACGGCAGCGGATGTATTTCCAGATGATCTGTTCATACCTATAAGGTTATTTGTATCAGTTCGATTATCACTTCCTATTTCGAATATAGTTTCTTGATCACAGAAATCTGTCCATTCACGGCATAAACCATGCAATCGATTCAATAATAATTCATGTTGAATAGGAGATGAAACCACTGTCTATTGAACATTGAGATTGAAAAAAAGGATAAAAATTTTAATTTATTTATGAAATTTGTAGTTATGTAATATATAACCTCTCTCAAACAGCGGGATTAGTGCATATACATTTTAGAAGAATATATTAGCTATAAAACAGGTCATTGTATAAGAAAATAACAAAAGCTGAGTATTTCTTCATGTCTGTTCAGCTTACGGAATAAATAATTAATTAGTAGTATTGTCTTCTCATTATGTAGAGACAACTTAATTAAGGTATTGAAAAGTCATAGTTGAATTTATGTCAATTAAAGCTGGATCACCATGGAAAACCTGGAAGCACTGGATGACCGTTTCGTCCTAGTATGGAAATCCTCAGCAGTGCGAATCCATGATCCCGCCTCGCGACGCAGGACTCCTCTCCTATATATTTGTTTAATGCTTGACAACGTTGTCGATCACTGAAAACATCTACTGGTCTTCGCTTTATGATTGTTTTGTTTCTACTGAATGATCACTGTAATTACGAGCTCGATATATGTCCTTATACCTAATAAGTTAGTAATTGATCCTAAAATGTTACACTAAAAAAGAACTTTGAAAAATTGCTAAAGAAATACTAACTTGTACAAAGTATTCCTGCATGGTTGCGCCATTAGCTGATGGTGTTGTACCAGTGAAATTGAAAGCTGCAGTTAAAGCGATTGCATTACGCCGATCTACCGTTTCTCCTGAGGATGGTTGTGCTAATCCTTCAACGGGTCCAATTGCTTCAGCAATACTTCCACTTTCTCCAGGTAAAGCTGATATAGTTTCATCTGGTATGAGTCGAGTATTCATTACGTTTTATATGGGTATCTAAATATTTTTTTGATATACAAAAATTTAAAAACCTGTGGTTTGACAAAAGCATTCGAAACCTTAATAATGAAACTAATGAATGTAGCCACAAACTAAACATCTACTGAAAACCAAGAAACACTGGATAGCGGTTTCGTCCTATTATGGAGCTCCTCAGTGGTGTACGTCTGCGACTTCATCGAAGATTAAGCTCATCATCTTCAGGTCTCTCTTTTCAGTGGTTTAGAGACCAGTCAATCACCGAGAGACTCAAAGGTTTGGGTTTGACTTCTGATGGGGTTATAGAGGCGCGCTACCGAGGAGTCCCATAGTGGGAGGAAACAGTTGACCAACGCTCCCAGATTTCCGATGGATGTCTAACTTTGATAAGTTTGTGAAGCAATCTCGGAAACTCAAGTCTCTACAAAACGCCATAGAGTAAGTAACGAACAATGTTTAATATGACAAAAACATCTCACAAATAAACTAATACCATTCCATCAATTGCATTTAAAGCATAGTAGGAGAAATACGAACGGGTACTAGATTAGACGGAATAAAAAATTCAATAAGAGCAACAAAAAATTTATATACTACTGTACATAAATGCTAAAAATTCTATAACCATTATATATTAGCTGGATGTAATTAGAGCAACACCCTTTTCTTCTTGCCGAAATTAGTTTTTTTTATCAGACAAGAACCATGAATTCAAATCGTTTGGTTTAATAAGTGTATTAATTAGTCAGCTTCCAGTTACATAAGGGAAATGAAGAATGACAATTCTTCATTATACAAGAACTAATTTGTGCATGGAATATCTTTTCACGGGCTTTGAAATAAAGAAGGAAAAAAGTTTTATTCATTCATTCAATAGACTAGTCGGTAATGTAAACTACCACACTAAATATGCTAATCTAAATCTTTCTATTCGACAATGAAATATCTATAGTTCAATAATTACATTTCACTGAACACTAAATAATTTTAAATTAGTAAAAAGAAAAGACAAATAACAAAATGTGCGGATTATTTATTTCAATGGTTCAGATCATATGTCAATTGAAGCTAGACCATCATGAAAAACCTGGGAGCACTGGATGACCATTTCGTCCTGTTGTGGGACTCCTCAGTGGTGCGCATCCACGATCCCACCTCGCGAGATTCGAACCTTAATAGGACGAAACGGCCGTCCAGCACTTTCAGGTTTTCCATGGTGGTCTAGCTTCAGTTGACTCATGATCTCAACCACTGAAATTACTATAATATTCACAAAAATCCTTCTGATATGAATTATTTATTTATTTGTTTATTGATTAAGTAACCAAAAATATACCAAAAAAAACACAACAACCAAACAATATTAATATTTATTTGTACAGATTTATTGCTTTACACCATCAATAACACAGTTCAGTGTATATTGGCAAGAAAACAGATACCATTTCAAAATTAACAAATAAGTTTAAAAGGAGATTATATTTATTAAACATTCCACCTATTTTGTATAACGTTTCAAATAAGTCAGTTACAAGAGATAAGAAAGAAACAAACAAACAAATGTAGGATAGGTTATTGTTTTTCAGTTGGTTTTGGTGTGGAAGTTCGACTAGCTTTCATTAAATGATGATAATTTGGTAGAATTTTTGTTAGAAAATCTAATTGTAATGTTTGTGCAGCTGGACGTTCAGTTGCAATACGACGATGACCCTAAAGGAAATTAAAACAAATAGAAATATATTCCTAAAAAAACACTTAAAGTATATAAATATGTAGGCTTATTTCAGAAACAACAAATTGTTATAACTGTAAAATTGGCTCCATCAGCACTAATGTACAGTCGACTGTTACATCTGCAGAGTCGTTGTTGTTATGTGCGTATCAACTCGGTTGAATCTGCATCCTTACTGTTTTTATTTGACAATCGGGAACCACTGAAATTTCTCGATCCCAGTGCTTACACTGGAAAACGAGAACTAACTATAATTCCCAGGATGAAAAGTGAAAATATGAAAGACTGGTGCAATGTAGATGTATTGACTTAGCAAAACACGTCTCCAAAAAAGTCCCAAAATCATATCATCCTTAGACCATATTAAAATCATTTATATACCAAATTTCACATACATTCAATAGTATTGCATGGAGTTAGTGTAAATACAGCTCGTCTGAATTAATACAGGGAATAAAATTGTTACACTGAACGACAGTTCACAATTGTTATCTAGAACAAAGTTAACACTAAACTGATACACGAGAATATTGACCTCAAAATACCACACTGAACAAAGTTGGTCGCTGTCACTACGGCCAAAATTCTAATGAATTAATGCAAAAAACACTGAGTCAAATAATGTCATCTTTTTACTCCATCACATCAAAAACCAACGGAAAATTTGTATTTTCCCTAATCTATTTAATCAGTGACTTACTAGATTTATTATTAAACAATTTGGTGTCATAAAGATGTGTTACTCTTACAGTTCCAACTTGCGATCGAATCCTTTTGAATGTTGTTTAGGATATTTAGATCCTCCTTCATTTCGATATAATTTTTCATTCTATACTTTTCATTTTGTTCGTTTTCGTTTACTTTGTTGATTTGAGGTGCGGTCATTTGGACAGATATACACGGACACTTGTACTCGAGTCCATGTTGATGACTGACTGGTGTTGTCGTTAATGTCTATTAGCTAAAACGCTGCTCTATGGCTTTGAAACAATTTCCTACAATGCTATTTAGTGATTCGCATTAATGTAGGAAAAATGAATGTAGACCACATGACAGTGTAGTTCTATCTTAGTTTGTTCGTTAAATATGTTAAACAAAGAAATAGTAACGTTAAATGTATGAAAGTAGTCGGCAAGGAACCTTAAACCTAGTTCTCGTGCTAGTTGGTACTCAATGGTAAGGCGTATCTGCAGTCCTCAGGAAATTAATGCCTCTTAGTGGTTTTAAACCCAGTTTTCATAGCTTTCAACATTACTACTAAGCTATTCGAGAAACGATCGACACCCTATAGGAATGATATATTTACAATCGGTTGGTTACTACTCAACGATCAGTTGAAGAGAAACAATAATATTTATTGAATAATGTTTCGAATACAATTTGTTATCGCGATGGTTAAATTTAAGATAATTATTAAGTTTGACTTTTTTAAGTTTTATTGTGAAATAACTTCGTAACTATGTGAAAGTTTGTGTTCGACTATGGACCACACCTTCTTTATGCGGTATTAATGATATCGTTCAGCTGTTTAAACCGAGTTGGGTGGAACAGGTTTCCAACTGGTAACTTAGATGATATTTGTGTTATAAAAATATTTACTTCTTTTCATTAATTTTAATAATACATCAAGAACAGAACATATAAATGTAAAAATGATCAAAGTAAATCCAACTAGATTTAGTTGTACAATATAGTGAGGCACATGTTCTACGAAGAGTGACAAACAATTAGGCTAAAGAATAAGTAATTTCGAAATCATCACAAAATAATGTACTCTGAATTGTTGAAGTATTCGCCATCAAAAGGATGAGACATTACCTACACACTGGTAAAGGAAGATATACTCTTAACCCGCTCAACAGTACTCACTTACTGTCTTACATTGAACGGAATCTGAAATACTCAAACTTAGTGAGGAATTCCAAACAAGAGCGAAACGGCCGCCTTGAGCGGCCTGATTTTCAAAGCTTTACTAAGTAAATCATCACTTTATGGAAGTAAACACTATTCACATAAGATCTTATAGACAAATATCAGAAGAAAAATGTCGAGTGAAGAAAATGATAAAATCAAATACGTATGTATAAAATACAGTTAAACCGATTGCTTTCGACTGGATACAAAAAAGGCAGTTGTGTAATCACTGATCAAAATCAGGATGAATGACGCGCTGAATTGAATGTAATTGGGTCAGAGGGATATTTTATTTTGTCAGGTTATTGACGTTGGATAGATTGTTTAGTGAATGATCATACAACATATAATGACTGATTTTTAGATTTAGAACCCTTCTAAGCAGGGAAGTAATGGAATCCAGGACGCACGTTTCGTTTAATTTAGGACTCATTCGCCAAATGTACATGCATCCTAGAGTTGATGTTCACTCTGGGACTCCAAAACATTGTCGTTCACTTCAAAAGTCATCATGTTATCCAATTAGCTGTTGAGTCTAGATAGCCATTAGCTTGTGCAATGGATGAAGTTTAATTTATTTTGTTCTGTTTGTTTGGATTTTCCTATTGATGTTTGGGATTGTAACTGATCAGTCTCGGTTTAAAATGCTTATGACTTAATGGCAATATCAAGGCAATCCGCACAGGATGCTTATATACCAGAAGAGATTGATCGATTGCAGTCCTGAACATCAATCGGAAGATACAAATAACTAAAATATATGAATTAGAGCCTTTCTAACTTTATATCCCTTTCTGCAATTATATCAAATACATAAGGGTTATTTATAGTGTCTTTATCAAAACATTTTTTAGAATTACTTGGTTATATCGAACTATTAAAAGGACCCTGATATTCACTTGTTGGATGTTCAGCGATGATAACCACTAAGACCTGAGTAGCTAGCTGATTGTGATGTTATTTTCCTTAAAGACAGCAGCAAACTGTATTCAAAAGAACGTGTTCCACTTCGTCAATCATTAAATTTGCTGTATCTGAACTTGCGTTTCTCTTTTCTTTCCTATGACTAGCCACTTTCTACTAAAAACACTTGGTTTACATAAAATTGGGTGATCTGAACATATTTTTAATATAGTGAAAATTCCCATTTTGACGTTTGGTAAATAAAGAAGGAACAAATAGAGGAAAGAAATTTCTTTTCAATTAGTTTCTCATCATGGCTCTACACTAATATATATAATACTCATCGAGTGGATACGTTATGTAATAATTATGTAATGACATCGATTATAAACTAACATTGAGTAATTGGAAGTAATTATTCGAACGTCGAGCAGTTGCTAAGTTGCATAATATGTAAAGACAGAAGAAGGAACTAACAAAATATTTTGATGAATGGTCAGTACTATAGAGTTATGTAAGAATCAAGAGACGAATGTTGAGAATAAGTAAAATACAAAACATGGAAGAAATACGAAATTAGTTTATCAATGTTCTGCTACAAACTCCCCTATACTGATGACCAAGGTAGCGAGAGTGGTTGTACGAACTTCTTTTGGATGCAAAGGTTTGGTTTGTGAACATGGATTGCGTTGGCTTCAGCAATATGCAAAAGACGAACTCGTGAACCATGCAGCACATTTCATGGAATATGGTGGATAACCTTAAAAGCTTTATTCAGTTCAACTTGATGACCTGTGTTCACCAGGTGGGCGAGAATAGAACTTTTAATCACTCTTACTTGTCCTTTGCTCAACCACGACGGATGGTGTTCTATTATACGATGATGAGCTTGCCAAACTGTACGCCCCATATAACTCGCTGCACATTAGAATGGACCACTTAAGGACACAATTAGCCATCTAACATCTTATTGTCACTATATAGATTATACTTTTATAGTATTAGAAAAAGAACATGACAACGAGAATTTTCTTAATATATTTAATAATATTCATCCACCAGTTACTTTTACACTAGAGGAAGAACAGAACAATAGCATATCGTTTCTAGATGTCCAACTAACTAGAAGAGCAGATGGAACATGTAGTAGTGATGTAGTATCACTAACCGTCACATACGAAATATGATTTAAAGCTAAGCACAAGAATCTGTACTTGGTAATTGAGTTATATCATAACATTATAACCTTCACTTGCATACTCTTCTTGGTAAAATGAGACAAAGTAACACTAGAAGCTACCAACGTAAAGCGAAATATAGAAACCAAACAATGTTATATACTTGGCACATGTATTATGTGACGAAGAAATTGTAAGTGTATAACTATTAAAAATCCTTTATGGTTGAAGATATGTACCCAATAGTTTATAATGCAAATACACATTATTACTATTATTATACAGATGATATTTATGGATGATATACATAGTAAAAATGATAGTTTTAATAATACTCACTTCATCACTGTATACAACAGTACATTCTGGTAATGTTTCACCAGAATCCATTGAACACATTGCACCAATTACACAACCATGGGTTATTTTAACATTTGATCCAATATGACACTTCGCTTCAAAAACATTATTATCACCAACTTCTAAAGCATAACAATGTGCTCCTACCTTAATATAAAGAGGGGAAAAATAACCGTTAATGGATTATATGATAAGTATAGTAAATGAAGAATCAATTCTACACTAATCGTTTGTACATTTCACGTAAGTTTGTGAGAAAAATAAATCAATGATAGTAAGTAGAACATAAGTAGGAAATATAACAATATAAGTAGACATATAGACAAACTCGTAACAAAACGATAGTAATAAATGAGAACCAGTGTGACATTGGTTCAACTAACTTCGAACACATTGTAATCACCAATTTTCATTATGGAACCAGGAATTCTATTCACAATTTCCACCTGTTCTTCGATTAAATTAAATGATCCTATATGTATTGGACCAGCTTCAGCGATTATACGAGCTTTTGGATGAATAATAGTATTTGCACCGATAATTATCTCACCAGATAGTTCACATTCGGAACAAACAACGGCTCCAGGTGTTATGCGTACTTGACTACGAAAAGATGTAAAACCTGAAGCCGGTTTCATTACACTACATAAAACAAAATAAAAGATATCATATCATCAACTTATAATTTACAAAATCAATCGGGGAATGTTTGGAACAACTAATTCTTCACAGTGTTGAGGATTTTCAAGTGTCAACGAAAAAAACTAAAGCCGATCAGTTCAGGGTAGAAGTAGTATATCAATCATTTAATTTAATGAAGTTCATATTTGGACTGTTGTAGGTAAACACAGCAAGTTGCTATGTTAAATGTGATGGCGACAAAGTGATTTGTTAGAAGTACACCATAATGATATCTATAATGATTTACTTTGACAGGTCTTGTGACTGAGATATATAAAAACTTGTGGAGATTGTACTATTTTCACAGTTGAATTCACAAGCCAGTCCAAGCTAGACCACCATTGAAAACCTGGAAGCACTGGACGTCCGTTCCATCCTAGTATGAAACTACTCAGCAGTGCGCATCCACGATCTCGCACACAGGACTCGAACATTAGACATCATATTATAGACTTAAAGTTATTTCTATAAGTTTTGTTTGACCAAGTGAAGCAACCATATTTATCAATGTACTCACGATAAACACGGTTTACAACCTAGTAAACGACCTGCTTGGCATTCTAACTGGAATAAATTTGAATAACTTGCATTGATTTTCAATATAAACGAAAAACATTATGTTAGGATTTCAACATCAAATAGTAGGTTTACAAATTTTTCCAATCAAAATATTTTGCTATGTCGAAAACTTAAGCAAAAACGCATTCAGTTCGAAAAATATATCAAAACTCCAAGAATTAGTAGACGTATTTAACATAGGTTCAATTAAACTTAAGGTCGGTTCCGGTCAATTCCTGATCTGAATAGCACCATATATCTATGTGTTTGTTTGATTTTTTCAACATTGATCTCATTCACGTCAATTTTATAAGTTAACAATTGATTCACTAACTGACTTAATTTTCATATGTTGAAAAAGATATTTTATATGTAAAAGTAAATGTGGTAATTTGACGAACCCGTAAATATAACCATTGTTAAGATGTGAAAACTACTCAGATACCTGAAAAAGTTTCCATTTTTTATCATTACGCAATAGAACTCAGATAGCTGATAAACATTAGTCAATAGATATGTGAATATCTTTATCAAAGAAAAAAATAACTTAGTGTATATAACAAACATACGTCTTTTTGATTGGTTATATAAAGACTTCAGCGGCAAGAAGTATACATAAACTGAAGTTAATTGTCACGTCGGCGAGACTATAATTTATGGACGAACCATTCAGATATAAGATAACAGATCTCGGAGTTTAGCGAGAAATTCACTCATCCATTTGACTAAATAGAGTTTTGGCATTATAGCTTATATTAGTTCGTGATGAAAACTCTAAATGTAATTCCCAACTCTAACCAATAACTGTAAATCATAATTCTAATTACTCGCGCTGGTATATAACCCTTCTTTGTTCCCAGTTATTAGGTGAACACTCTCAGGGTCACTTTAGCGTCGCTCAAAGGTCGTCCATAAATTATAGTCTCGCTGTCAGGTCAGTTTCAAAGTATCATTTTGTATTCTATAAGATTTATACTAAACAGTTTAACAGACATACACACACTTAAACAAATCACAATCATCATCATCAGTCAACAAGTAATTAAGAAGAAATTATCAATAATAATAGTAATACTGTACATATTTAATGTGATAATACTAACAAAATTTACAGATTAATTACTATCTTTATAAAATATCAAGTCCAGAATACGGTTACAAATAGAAATTCTTAAAAAAATTCTTTAATGCATTTCTTTGTACGTAAAGTACATGTTAATCAAATGTGTAATGCAATATAAGTGAAAATGCATTTTACATGTAGAAAAATATGAATATAAATGAAGGTAATAAACATGATTAAAATAAAAAGATTTGGCGCGAAAGTACAGTTTAAAATCTCACTTGAAAAATAAATAAATTTATAAAGATCTATTGAATATAAATGCATATATCTATATGATCCAATATGTATCGGGCCAGCTTCAGAGATTATACGAGCTTTTGGATGAATAATAGTATTTGCACCGATAATTATCTCACCAGATAGTTCACATTCGGAACAGACAACAGCTCCAGGCGTTATGCGTACTTATATATAATGGAATTGAGAGTACTGTTGTGTAAAAGATGAATCATAAAAAAAATTTGTATTTTGTTAAAATATTTAAGTGTTTCTTTTTCAAGTTAATTAAAACGAATGGAATTTCTGTTTTGAAATCATTGATCGTTCAATGCATAATTCAGATCCTGAAATGAATGGAAATTAAAGAACTACAGTAAAAATAATGTGTTTTATAACACAAATTTTATGATATGTTTCAGACAAAAAAGGAAATGAAGTACGGAATACTTCCAAGACTATAATTCCAACATTATTAATATTACTTTGAACCGTTTGTTACATACTGAATACAATAGTTACTGTTCGCTTACAAAAGTGAACCCGAAAGAGTGTTATCTGAAAACAAAACTGTTAAACTAAATTATAGCAATAAAATAATGTTGAGATGGTGGCGAAGACTTGTAGCTTAGGTGGATGATTTTAGTGAAGTTTTGTTCTCTGAGTTGGGTGGTTTTGTCGTGAAGCTTTCATCGTTCTTTTGAATGGAGTGAAGTTTGTGCTGATGATGTTGTTCAGAAGAACGATGAAAACCATCCAGCTGAGAACAAAACTCCACTAGAATAAGACAGTGTTTTTGTTAATATCTGACAGTGAAGTTTGAGGTATTTTACTCTAGAAATAGTTTTATTTACATATTATTAGTCGATATTGGTGATAAGAGTTGAACAGAAGAGCGGAAATAATACAATTTAGAAAAAAACAACCTATAAACAGTTAAGATCGCGAACCGACCAATGTTAGATCATCACTGAAAACTTGGAAGCACTGGATGGCCGTTTCGTTCTAGTATGAAACTACTCAGCAGTGCGTATCCACGATCCCACATGTGAGACTCGAACCCAGGACCCTTAGTCTCGCGCACGAACACTTAAACTCTAGACCATTGAGTCAGTATGCAACTTAAAGGTAAAGTATTTTAAACAATTGTCTAGACAAGACACTCAATTTTCGTTGGCCGGATACCATCAGCAACAGCCTACTGTCGGAGAGAACAAACCAACTTCCAGCTGAAGAGGAAATTAGGAAAAAGCGGTGGAGGTGGATAGGAAATACATTACAGAAATCACCAAACTGCATCACTGAGCAAACCCTAACTTGGAATCCTGAAGGAAACCGGAAAAGAGAAAGGCCAAAGAACACAATGAGCCGAGAATTGGAAGCAAACACAAGTAGAATGAATAGCAACTGGAAACAACTGAAAAGGACTGGCCAGGAGAGAATTCGATGGAGAGTGCTGGTGAGCGGCATATGCTCCTACACGAGGGTTAACAGGCGTAAGTAAGTAAGCTGTAGCCTAGTAGCCAATGTGATGACACGTGAACGCAGTTATACATATCTATAATTCACATGAAATTTGAACACAATATTGAGTGATTAAAATGAGATTAATATTGGTAAAGAATTGGACCGACAAATGCAATGTTTTCAAATAAAATTCAGTGGCAATTTAGCTAGGTATCAACGCTTATTATCACTTACACACATAAGGTTTGGTCTATTAATAAAATAAACCTAACAAACAGATCCTAATTGAAAGAAAAACGTATAAAATAAGTTATTCCAACTGCCTATAACATTTTCTTACATAGAAAACTCATTTTTCTGACTAGTGATCGTATCTTTGACTTTAAAATCATTTGTAGACTTATGCAAATAATTTAGTCTTGTGAGCAGCTATCACTCACTCAGCAGTAATGTATGTATCATTGTACAGTCCTGTTGGACAGTATTATTTTATTTTATTTCAACAAACAAAAATTAACTTTACAAATCACTAAAATCTAAACTCGTAATATCTATACTATACAACTAACTGTACAAATCTATACTTGTTCGGTTATATCCACCAGTAGTACAGGGTTTCTGATTGCATTAGTGAATGATGGAGGCTTGAATATGAGCGTTTCATGTTAACTGTTATTCACTAAATAAATTCGTGTGAATAAATCTGATAACTAAGGATATATTGGGGATTTTTACAATACAAAGAAAATAAACAATCTGAGACATACCTATTCACTAGAATCAAATTTTTCTACAAATTCATCTGCTGAATCATCTTTTGAGCTTGGTATCTCCGTACCCGATGCTTCACTTGAAGATTCTTCATATTTAATTACATTACGCTTTTTTCTAGGAGGATTACAACGTTTGGGAGGGCATGATTTGGCGATTGACAACAATTTGGGTAATAAATGAGCTTTATCATCTGTACCTAAACGTATCCATCCTTTGTCAGTTTCAACATTTTTGACCGGGATATCTAAAGAAATTGATGATTCAAGAATTTTCTCTTCCTCTTCTTTAAGATGCAATGGAATAACCTTTTTGCCAGTCATTTCTTTATGTTTCATTGTTTTGTTTTTTTCGTATTTTTCAATAGTAGCTTGTTTATTATGCAATGGAGCTAAAGCGAATTGTGCTTTAACTCGATGCCATATAAAGAGTCCACGAACTAATCGTTTCCAGTTTTTTAGCGCACGCTCTATTCGTTCTTCATGCTCTAATTTTGCTGCATTCATTTGTTCCGTACGCCATGCATCAATAAGAACTGGTACAGACTCTTTACAGACAACATATCCTTTTATATTTGGATGAGCCCAACCACTACCATGAAATGTCCAACCAACAACAGCCTCTGCACAATCAATTCCAAGTTTTTTAGCAATATACTGAATACCTGATGTTAAAATATACAAATAATACATTTTTTAACAACGAAAATAATTTTCAGTTAAGGTAGATAACATTTGAACAATCATCGAAGATATAATTATATTAGACAAGTGTTACGAGTTAAATAGGATGTTCATTTAGTAACCATATACTTCGTAGAACTTATAACAAAAGTTTCCAATAGAAACCATGCATACAGCTTTAGCTCATATTATTATTGAACATTCTTTGCAGCTGTTACGTCAGTCTGAGTGTAAGAGACTGGATGCATAAATAATCGATGTGAGCAATTCCGCTCCTAATTTGCCGGGAATGAACTCTCTAAACGGACGATCCTCAATGATCAATCTCAAAATTCGCATATCCATTTGAGATTTCTACTCATTGACTTTCAATGTATTTCAATTGTATTTTGTGCTGGTTACTTAGTTTAATAAATTGTGATAGTTAATAATCACTTAATTAATAGGTATATAACTGAATAAACTTGGATGTAATTTCATCCTTCTGGAAGGTTTCTACCAGGAACAGTTTCGATACAAACTTGTACTCCTCACTTCAGTTATGATGTAGAGAAGAAGAAGAAGAAGAGAAACATAAGAGTAGTCTCGTTCACTGTAATGGAGTTGGATTTGGAAATAATCAACTAAGTACACAAACGTGTCAGAGATGCTATTAAGCATGGTTAAGAATGATGGTCAAATGTGATCTTTTGTGTTATATTCTTAACTAATTAAATCTTAGTTGTATTTCTAATGAAATTATATCCTATATTGAATGATACTTCGCTATTAAAACCTCAGATATATGAACGAAGAATATTCTTCTCAATAAGTTCTCATTAGATTCTACAGCTATAAATCTAAACTATTGTTTCTAAGGAAGTACTAAGTTTAAAGTAAATACATTACTATCTTATTTTTTTTTTACAAAAGTCATTCGACTTATGTGTTACATTCTAGTACTCTACTATACATCATTTTCCTGCTATTAACTACAAATCTGGATTAATTTTTGCTCACACTTCTTATAAATAATAACATGTACATATAGATTGAACTAAATCTTTTTTTCGTTCTGATCTATATTTAATTTTCAGAAGGGGTTTTGTGGAGATTTTAGAAATTTCACTGATTGAAATCATGAGTCAATCGAAGCTAGACCACCATGGAAAATCGATTCATGATTTCAATCAGTGAAATTTCTAAAATCTCCACAAAACCCATTCTGATAATAATCATCTGCTCGCTAGTAAATGACTTCAAGAGATACTCCTGGAGTTCTAGTGAGAAGCCGTGACCAGTGGAGTTCAACCAGGTCTGTTGTGATATCAGCTCACTGAAGACAATGGTGTACGGTGGCGCAACTTCGTGGATTGGTTGAAGTTAGACATTAACACCGTCGGATGCCAGCTCAGTGGTCTAGAGGTTAAGAATTCACATGCGAGACCGACATGTCTTGGGTTCGAATCTTGCAAGGCGGGGTCGTGGATGCGCACTGCTAAGGAGTCCCGTGCTAGGACGAAACGGCCGTCCAGTGCTTCCAGGCTTTCCATGGTGGTCTAGCTTCAATTGACTCATGATCTATATTTAATTGTATATTTTAACGCTGTTGTTTTTTCTCAATTGTTTTTCTTTTTGCAAAATAATTTTATTTCATGAGTAGCAATGCCAAGATTGGACTTGATAGTTTTAAATAAATTGAGCATTGAGCAAAACGTTAATAATAAGTATATACTTTTTGTTATAGTATTTGTGTTAATTTGATGTCGGTTATTTATTTACTCTGAAGAAGTGGCCTGCACTAAGTTACGAAGCGTCAGAAATACAATTTTTCTACTCATTTGGATATAAAAAATATATCCATTATTAATGTTACTTAATACATTTTGTGGTACATTTTTTAATGTTCTATTGTATCGAACACTTCTTTATCATAAGAAATCATTCTTTAAAATAAAATGAGTCACAAAATAACGCAATTCGGATACGTTTAAAAAAAGGACTACAAAGTGTAGAGAAATTATTCTATATTACTTTTGATGATGGAAAGATCAAATTGAAATGAAATCAAACATGATTTTTAAAAAAAGGAAACCATACAGAACATACCAGAAAGACATAAGTGTGCACAGCCTATGGGAAGCATGCACGGTTTAAACAAATCAACATTTCCATGCGCATTACGTGGGACAATACCATTTTCAGCTTTCGGTGGTACATACGGTTCCACTTGCCATGGACCGAATATTTCAACAGTTGCAGGTGCAGAATCGGAACCTTGTAACAACTTACGTTTCATAGATAAACGAGCTTTAACAACTTTCGCGGGTTTTTCATGAAGACGAACGGTCTGAGAATGGAAATACAAAAAAAGGAAAATAAAGCAACCACATATGACACTGAGTACCTATGAATAAATATTTACTGGTACTTGAAATCTTTATATACAACGTTTCGACAATGAAGTGTGCTTAAAAAAGTTGTGAAAAACCGGACCAAAACTCAAAATAGCTGAGATATCAATTAGCAGTTTCTTACGATTAAAGAGGGTTTAAATCTAAAGTAACAGAATAGTAACTATGTAGTGATATAAGACAGTCGCTAAGGTACATGGTTTCCAGACAGTGAATTATAATCAAATCAGCTTTCCACTATCGATATAACTAAAAAACCGTTACATATTAACACAATTCTTCGGTTAGTGTTAATATCATGGTCTTTCAAAGTTTGGGCTTTAACGAACTTAGTCCTGCACTAGTTTAGCATAACCTGTTAAGGCAAATGATGGGCTGACATACATTACTGATGACTAGACGCCTTTGTAGATGTAAGTATGGGTATTGATGACTAACAAACGAAGTAAACTTAATTACAACCATGGGTTTGTGAAATTCAGATTGTACCAAGGTTATTATGCTTAACGAAGGAGTTTGATTATGAATAGAGTGGTCTTGAGTGTTGTTGGAAGTATGAGAGCGGTTATCACTTCCCGGTTGCCCACACTGTGGAAGAGTTCTTCTGGAGGTACTTGAAAAGGAAATTGGGTTAGGTGGTCTTAGTGACCTGAGAGCATCACCGTAGTACCCAAGGACAACTGCTTGAGGTCGGTCACACACGACACTTTTGTGGGTAATTTTCGTGTTAGCTCCGTACTTGTTGAGACCTTACTGCCTGAGACGGATATCCGTAGGATAAGATGTGTGCATTTTTAAGGTCGACCTTTTCTAACCCCATCCCTCCTTGTGGGAAGGCAGCATCGCTATTATGTTGGTTGTACCGGAGGAAACATCTTACTGCCGTAACACCTCTGTACAGTCAGCAGCACGACTTCGTCCTCAGACCTTGGGTTTGCTGCTTTTAGTCTTATCGCTCTTCAACTGACCTGTCTGGCATAGTAGGACCTTGAAGAACGATTGTTCCAGCCAGTATAAATCGATTGGTTTAGCACGATAGGCAAGCCCGACCACCACTTCAAGGTAGCAACAACGGTCTTAGAAATATTGCTCGCATCTGCTGGGATCACCGGGTAAGTAATAGTGAGCTTAGATGCAAGGTATTAGGGAATGATGGTAAATCAGTTGATGAGGTTGTAAATCTTCATTGACTAAGATGATTGGGCCACGTGTCGCGTATGCCTGAACACCGATTATTACGACGCGCAATGCTGACACCATTGGTGGGGGATGGTTGGAAGAAAGATAGGGGCGGCCAAACCAAAACGTGGCATCAGTCCTTGGAGTCACTAACTTCTAGTCTGAGCCACGTTGGTAGATGCAGACTACTTGGTTTGGGTCCGTGTGACTCTGGGTGACATGGCTCAGAATCGATCACAATGGCGTAGGTGTATATTATCTTTGTCTTCCTTTAAACTATGAGATTAAAATCGCTTCATATCTTTCCTTCTACGAACTAATTCTTTTTTCCTGTACTATGTCCTTACATGCAATCTTTCTTTTATATATTACCATCACTGAATTAACTACTTCTATGGATTTGGTGTTCATCTTGTTGTGCTAATGAGGTAAGGCAACTTGAACTGATGTGTCTGGCCCTACGCTGTAGCAGACTGACTGACTGATATCCTTATGTAACCCGTTGGCTTTCGGGTGAGTTTTGTGAGATAATCACTGGGATATAACCAAGTGACTTTGGATCGTAAGGTGTCGAGATCACACCCAGTATAATTTAATTTGGTTTTAACAGCAAAGAAATATTTCTAGGTTCGGCTAAAAGCTTAGTACACATGGCCAATGAGTTGGAATTCCACAGTTAACCATCAAGTATGTAAGAAGTAAAACAATTTAGGAGGCGATTTTCTGTCATATTTCAGAAACTTTTTTCATTAATATTCTTCTTTAGTCATAGTTATCTGGAACGTAGAATCTGGAAAAAGTGCATCGACTCAAGTTGCAAAACTACATCAGTACAGAAATTCTAGGGTATTACACATAGTTAGTGATAGTAGGAAAGATGAGGGATAGAATATGGATTTGCGGAAGGAAAGATTTTCGAGAACATCTAGGAATGTATTTTTCTTGAAAACAATAGTGTTGTGAACATACCATAGCCTCTTTTAACCATGATTCTCTGGTATGACAAAGATGAAGACAATCACGAGAATAAACCGGTTCATTACGAAAATATCCCAAGGGGATTGAATCAGATGGATGAATAACTTGAAATTTAAGTAAATGGCGTTGGAGAACATACAGCGGATGATTCTTAAAGTCTTGCATACGTTTAGGTAGAGGTTCAGATAAAAGCTTTTCTTGAATAGAATCCTTATCTTTTTTATCTCGTTGAAAAGTTGGGACTGTATTTAACTTAGAAACTAAAGCATCATATTCAACGGCATCTTTATCAAAAAATCTACTTTGTATATCAAGAAAACTACTCCACTTCTCAGCAGGAATGCGATGAGTACGAGCAGAAACACACCAATCCTGAACATAACGAGGAGACAGGTCAACTGGATTTCTACCAACATAAGATACTAACTCAGGACTCGATGATCGTACAGAACAAGCACCGACAACATATAAAGATCCATGTTTGAAATTCACTTTATCCACAACACCTGTAGGCGATGATGGATCAATACATACCCAACGATTCAATTTCGGTAGAAATACTTCAGCAAACAGAGTAATGCTGGATTTTGAATTCTCATTATAATAATGATGATCGAAATTGGTATCAAATATATCTTCTTCATCTGAAGAAATGATTTTTCGATTATGTTTTCTCTTATTGGAACTTTTAATTTCTTTACTTTTAGACGTAAGCATTTTGGTCGCTGTTTCACTAGGCAATAAAGGTATTGGATGAAGACCAAGGATTATTCGTACATCGAATCCAAGAGAACGAAGAGCTGCAACAAGTAGTATGAGACAATCACTTTCAGTTGATTTCGACTCTGAAAGACGACGAACAAGCTGGTATTCATAATCACCGCATGAATTATTTTCAGTACATAATTGCATTCCTTGATAAGGCAACAATGAAACAAGACACGCTTCTACATGTTCAATTGACCACAATGATAATCTGATAAACTGTTTTGTTTTTTGATTGTACACTGCATTTGTATTAGCCAAAAGTGAAATACCTAAAGCCCAACATAAGGAACTGTCACAAGTTCGATTTATCACACGACTATGAGCAAGAAAACATAACACATGAACTGAATGCATCAATGTGTAATGTTCTTTTAGTTTGCGTTTTAGTGCAAGTAACTCGAGAAGTTTTGGATCTTGTTTAGAATGTTTTTTAGTGAAACTATCAAAAGGGATAGCCACAGTTAGTGATGTAGGTGTTTTTTCTCCATCTTCGCAAGGTACAGTATTTGAACTGAAATTCAAAAGGTTATGCATGAAATCTAATTCATTAGTTGGCTCATCATCCACTTCAACCCATTCTGTTTCGTCGTCTGAATCATTATTTACAATACTTTGAAATTTTTCAACTACATTAACGTTTCTCAATGGTTTACTCAGTTTTTTAGCCACATTCTTAGGTTTGAACTCTGAAAACAAACGCAAATTGCCTTTTCTCTTGCTTTTAGGTCTTTCAACACTTGAGCACTGGGATACGAAATCACTTGAATCGCTGTCATTACATTCATCTTGAAAGTGGCGATCTGTCAATAACTCTTTATCGTCTCCGAACAATTCATTTTTTTTCTCCAAACCCAATGTTCCTTTAAGACTTGATTTCTGTGTTTCTACTCTTGAACTAATTCGTTTACTACGTCTTTTTGTATGCTTATTCAAAGCGGATAGATGTTCATCTTTGTTACTGGAAGCACTTTTCTTGATTGTGGTCGACCGACTTGACGTTTTAGCTGGATTAACCGATTTCTTATTTTCAGGAGGTATTTGGACTTCATCAGTTGACCTAACTGGTCGAGTAGAACGCCTTGGTGTACAAGAAAGAGTGGCACTTTTCCGGCCCATATTTAATTACATGTCCGTATATCTACAAAAACGTAATATTTAAAACGAACTTTAGAGCTTAGAAAACAAGGATCAGTCAAAAATCTGCTCAGAGAATATCAAGCAGTTACAGGATGAGACCGTGCACATAAATAAGGCTGTAGATGGCAACAACTCAGTATGACTTTTACAATACTAGTGATTAACTTGGAACTCAGTATTAAAGATATCATGGGGAATACATTTGGCAACAATGTAAAAATGACACAATTGACAGAGACATAATACAGTAGTATGTAGTGTTTGAAATTTTTTTTCAGGAGCGCCTTGATTTTTACAGCATAGTTATGATAGTTTAGACTTTCACTTTTATCTCACGCGGCTTTTACGTAAATACAGAAAACAATGCCCAAGATGAAGAACGACTGTAGACAGATAAGTCAACAAAAGAACACACATAAATTGAAGCTAACATACTTTGCAAATCTGCAGGCAGAATTTTTTGGAAAGGGTACTTTGGATAAACAAGGGTTCACAGTAAAAGTAAATATCTAAACGGACAGAGATGAAAAGCTCCATACTTGAGAGTGGAAAAAAGAAAATCATTCGCACTACTATGTCGGATTTTTAACTACCGGTTTCCTATCACAAAACGGTAATCCAAAATGTTCAAATCTCTCCATACAACGTAGAGCAATAGTTATAAATAATATAATAAACAGTCAGCTTAATTAGTCTGTTTAAAATGTTCTGTCACTAATTGGTTCCATTTTTGTTATATTACACAAATATACAACTCTGTTAAATCCGTACTTCTGACTAATTGACTTTCAAAGGTTGTTTCGTTTAGGTCGTACCTGACTATTGTGAATTTCAACTAAAATTTAAGCTCCGAAACTACTTAATAGACTATTTTAAACAACGGAAGGATGGAAGGTCATATGTGCTTAAGGTTTTTCGGTAATTTAGTAGAAAGTGTTTATGAACAAGCGAATTGGGTTAACAAGCAATCACGAACTGACATCAGGTATAATGTCAATGTATTAATTACCCGTATGGATTGATGAACTTCGCGCCAGAATCCAAGACTTGCTACCTTAAGTCCCATTGATTCGTACACAAATTAGACTCGCCGTCACATTTACTGTGTAATTTTGGGCTAAGATGGATGAAAATCCCTAAGGATTATCTTATCTATTGAGTTACAACCCATAAATACTAAAAAATACTTTAGGATCCCCGGATTAGTTAATAATAAAAAAAACTAATAGGACAACAAATCAGACTGAAAATTCAACTGCAGCACCTGCAACTACGTCAGCGTTTACAATTTTTTATTCCCAGAAATAACTGTGATCAAATTAAGGAGACCATTAGTTCGGGTTGTGTTCAAAATTCATCGAAAACGTCCACTCATAGGTTATGCACTGCTCTCAGACTATTCAGTCCTCGAATCCGATGACATATTGATAAACTTATCAATTACCAACTTCACTAAAAACTTATACGATACAAACATAAATACTTAATCAAGCAATTACGAGCAAGGTAATTGAAAATGTTAATCATGATCAAACTGGTCTGTGACCCATACTTAAGAACCTGTTAGACGAGACCCGTCAGTAAATAGAAAACAACGCAACTTAACAGGCAGATGAGAGCCAACTAAAAATGATGCACTCCCATCTTTCGCAATTCATTTCATCCTATATCTGTTCCCGCGAAATCAAAATAGAACTCGGAATTAGTTCGGGAAATAATCAACGCAAAAATGCCATAGTGGGGAGGAATAAACTTCTATTAAAGGAGTTTGCAGTCTATCAAACATCAGGCAGTTCTCAAAGAATCAAGTAAACAAGAAACATGCCTAACGTATCTGTACAGAAAGGGAAGTAACGCAAACGCCTAAATTAGCGGGGTCTCGTGTCGGTCTGTAAGTCAAATGGTTCAAATGGTTGTGGACGGAATAGAAGCTTTCGCTTAACAAGCTTCCGTGTCTAGTAGCAGGGGATCACCAAATCTTCCAGGCAGGAACCTAGGTATGTTAACAATAAAAGAGGAAATGAAATTGGTACATCATAGTGTGATGCTGTCCATGGTCCTTAAGAATAGATCAAGTTGCCTCTTGAAGGACTCCTGAGAAGTCGCTTGGACTAGCTCAGCCGGCAGCGAATTCCAGCTTTTGACAACTCTTAAGGAGTAGAAGTTGTGTCTTCATTCCGTCTTGCTATGTTGTGTTTCCAGTTTCTGGGTGTTACCCCTTAGGTTATTATTCGAACTAAGCTTAAGTAGGTGTTTAAGAGGATGTCCAGAAGTGTTAAGAATACTATAATCCATTAATAAATCACCTCTAAGACGCCTATACTCTAATGGGTAAAGGTCTAGTGAATGGAGGCGTTCTTAGTAAGGTTTAGATTTGAGTCCTCGAACTGATTTCGTGGCTCGCCGTTGGATACGCTCCAAAGTGACCTTGTCCTTTTGGAGTGAGGGGGGAGTACTATGTTTCCGTACTCTAAATGGGGATGGATGAAATTATTGAAGATTGTATGGAAAGTTCTTTCATCAAACTGTCCAAAAATGCGCTTCAACGTTACCAGTGCAAGGTTTGCTCGGAAGGCATTTTGGTCACAGTTAGCGTAAGACTTTAAATCATGGGGCACCAGGACTCCTAAATCCTTTTCGAGTTGGGATACTACTAGAGAGGAGTTTCCTAAGTTGTAACTGTAGTTTGTGACATGTCGCAGATGGACTACTTTACACTTTGAAGTGTTAAAGGTAAGTCCGTTATCGTCTGCCCAATTTTGAAGTCGAGTCAGATCTTCCTGAAGTGCCTGTATATCGTCTTGGTTGCGTATCTCTCTCCAAAGTTTCACGTCGTCGGCAAAAAGTAATAAGTCTGACGTAACCTGTTGAGGAAGATCATTTATTTAGATCAAGAAGAGAAGAGGCCTTAGTACTGAGGCCTGGGGGACCCCACTAGAACATTCTATAGCCTGAGATAAAGTGAAATTAACCCTAACCTTAAAGTGCCGATTTTTTAGGTATGAAGTAAGCCAATCAATTAGAGGTGGTGTGATACCTAGTCGTTTGAGCTTACTGATAAGACACAAGTGGTTAACCTTATCAAAAGCTTGTAGCGTGGCGTCGAGTTGAGATTAACTGTGAACACCGCTACCAAGAAACACGTGCCAAATGAATCAGAAGGCGAGGGTTGGACGTAACCAAATAGATCCATAAAATCCCCGAGAAGCCAAATATCAGAAGACAGTTAATGGACCAAGTCGAGGTTTATTAGCTGGCGATCTCGTGGCATCGAAAGGATACCGAGACCGTGCCAGGATACAACCTTGGTTACAGAAGGTAACCGAATTCGCGCGAAGTTACAATCGAAGTGTAAGTAAAAGAATGGAAGCACAAAATAGCTGTCATTAGCACAGTCAAACAAAAGCACGTTAAAACAAACACTGGTACAGTTGGTTATAATAATAATTGTTCTCATTAAACCAGTCGTGTTCTCGTGATAAATGTGAGTCACTACAGGAGCCCCCCGCTAGAAAGGGTTAACACTTTCGATAAATAGCGGTTTAAATCGTGGGACTGATCGGCTAACGAGCGATTGTAGGACGGAAGAATTGGCGAACAGGAAAGCGATCGTTGATCGTCGAGTTGCCAACGAAGGTCGTTTTCGGAGAACGGTACCAGGAGCGATGTGTTGTATTTGTTGCTTGAGTTGGCATGCTACACAAGAGTGGTTTGTATCCAGAATCTGAAGAGGGCGTTCGTAGGGAATGCGGACCAGAAACGCTGCAGACGAAGGACGAAACCACGTTGAGCCAAAAGACCAGAAGCGACCATAACGACCAAGTTCGAGACCAAGCGTATGCCAAGCATTCGAAACCAATATATCGACTGAGTGCGTTGACAAGAGCATGGGTGGCCAATCCAGCTTTCGCCAAAGTTGACTGAAGTCGACGGAACCAAACGGAGATGGTCGAAGGCGTGGGCTCAGGAAACAAAAAGAAAATCAAAAAAGAAGAGTGTAGCATGCGTGTAGTATAGGAATAATCCTACACCGTATCGGTTGTTCACTGTGCGATTAGTCTCGGAAGCGTACGGGTAACCGTACTCGGCGACCGGAACGTGAGACGTCAGTCTCGTTCGTATTTCGTGAGCCTGCAATCTCATCCGAGGTCAGAAGCGGCGTGGTCTGCTGATCTGGATGTGAGACTGTCGTCTCGTCCGTAGACGGTGCAGATGACGCGTGCTGTTGGCCGGGACGTGAGAATGAGGTCTCAGATGCATCTAGCGTGGGACCTGAAGAAGATTTAAGGATCCCGCTAGGTTTAATAGGTCTAGCATTGAATCTCAGGGTATCAGATAGGGCACTGTCATCGACGTGTGCTGGTTTGAGACGATCAATGCTGACGATCTCGACGCGTCCATATCGATCAACCTTGAAGGTCTTTTCGTGACGAGCGATCACGTGAAAAGGGCCTTCGTAAGGTTGTTGCCAAGGTTTGCGTACCGAATCTACTCGTATGAAAACATGTGAACAGGTAGATAACTCTCGAGGGAGAGCGACCTGTCGATGTTGTATTCGAGTTGACACCGGAGACAGCGTTCACATAAATGCAGACAGTCGATGGACGTAGTCTGATTTACCGAAATTAGGTCTGCTCCGTGATGTGAAGGATTCTCCGGGCAGACGCAATGTCGTGCCGTATACCATTTCAGCGGCGGAACATTGTATATCTGCCTTCAAGCTCGTTCGTATACCTAAGAGGACGAGCGATAAGGTTTCGTACCAGTTGTCGTTCTCGTGTGCTCGTAGAGCACTTTAAAGTTGGCAATGAAACCGTTCAACTTAACCATTTGGTGCTGGGTGGTAGACGGATATGCTTATGCGTATGCATTCCGTACCAAGCAGCCGGCTCAGCGAGGAGAATCGTTAATAGGGTAACATTTCTCGAGTAGAGCGTGGAATTCATCGTCACGCGAATGAAAAGTTACAAGGATTCGGTACACGTACATGTGAGTCTATTATATTAATACTATTCTTATCGTTATCCGTCATGTCGCGTATATTATATATTAAAAAATATGAAAATATACGACAGACGTGGATAGATAAATCATAGACTCACTGAATTGGCTTCTTTGGAAGATTTGGTCAGAAGTTGAGGCGTGTTCCAAAATACGGGTCACCAATTGTATTCGAATTGGGATTACCAATTGTAGCGTGGCGTCGAGTTGAGATTAACTGTGAACACCGCTACCAAGAAACACGTGCCAAATGAATCAGAAGGCGAGGGTTGGACGTAACCAAATAGATCCATAAAATCCCCGAGAAGCCAAATATCAGAAGACAGTTAATGGACCAAGTCGAGGTTTATTAGCTGGCGATCTCGTGGCATCGAAAGGATACCGAGACCGTGCCAGGATACAACCTTGGTTACAGAAGGTAACCGAATTCGCGCGAAGTTACAATCGAAGTGTAAGTAAAAGAATGGAAGCACAAAATAGCTGTCATTAGCACAGTCAAACAAAAGCACGTTAAAACAAACACTGGTACAGTTGGTTATAATAATAATTGTTCTCATTAAACCAGTCGTGTTCTCGTGATAAATGTGAGTCACTACAAGCTTTTGAGCAATCAAGGCAAATTATATCAACCTTTCCCTTGCGATCGAAGATGCTTGTCCATCTGATCACCGCAGTCAGCAGGTTGGTTATACAAGAGTATATCTGTCTGTCCTTGTGAATTATGCATTTCACTCCTCAGTAATAAGAAGAAGTCTATCGACTTGTATTAATTCTTGCAGTTTGTAACACTGTCAATGTCCAATCTCGTTTTGAATATATCAACAAAAGGTGCTGATATTGCGTGTTCTGGTAGAGAATTCCAGTAATTCCCTACCCGGTGCGAGAGACGAAACTCCAGACGCAAACGATTTGATCTCGGTTTTTGGACTTTCTTCGAATGTCCTCCCAAATGATCAGTTTTAGACGGAAGGGAAAGATAGGACAGAATAATTCCAAGATCATCGTTCAGTTTACGATGAGTCAATATTAATAAGCCCGTATTCCACGGTAAGACAGCAGAAATAAGTTAAAGTATCTTATTCTGTCTTCATAATATAGGCTAGATAGGCTCTTTGCCATCTTAGTCCATCGTCGTTGGACTCGTTCCAGCATATTCACCTCATACCTGAAACATGCTTGAATCCCATATTAAAATGTGGTCGCACGAAAATCGGGTATAACACTCTAAAAATTCCATCATCCAAATACTAGAAAGACCTAGGAATAGACCATAGTACCCTATAGCCTTTTTTGCAGCAGCCTTGCAGTGACTGGTAGTTTTGAGATCATTGCTTAGTATGACTCCTAAGTCTTTATAAATTCTTACTTTGGGTAGCACGAATCCACATAGTGTGTAGTGATACGAATCGTCATAGTCATTCAGCTGAGTCACTACACTCCTGTTAGGATTTACTCCTAGTGACCACCTATCTACCCATGCCACCGGTGGGCTGAAATCATCCTGTAATACTATTCTATCTGATATGCTGTGTATGGTGATTCATTTACATAAAATAAAAAGAGAAGGAGACGCAGGATTGTGTCTTGGGGAACTCGACTTTTTACAGATTCTTATGATGATAGAGCTCTATTTACCCTCACCCTTTGTCTCCTGCTATGGAGAAAGTCATTTATTCTGTCTGTGATTGTATTATGGATTCTCAAACTTTCCAGTTTGAATTTAATACCAGAATGAGAGACCTTACCGAAAGATTTACTTAGATCTATGAAGATCACATCTACAGGAATATTTCGATCTTCTCTTGCAATCAGATTTGTCAAACACAATAGGCCTCTCTGAAAACCATGTCTCTTGCATAAAAGATTATGCCCTTC